TCAATATTGTTTGGTCTATTGACGTATACTTTGGATTTTAGGNTTTAAGAAACATCAGTTGTTTCTTGGGAAAATAAATAAATATATTAGGGATCATTATAATTATATCCAGGAATACTCGGAAACGGCAACATTTGTATTCGATATAAAAATATGGCAGTTGTATATCAACTTAAAAATGCATGAGTTACCTACCAACTGCTCAACAGCCAGTTTGTAACATAAATTACTTCGAAATAGAAATGAAGTAAATCGTCATAAAAGTCGAAATTTAGATTTTACGAGACTTATACAAAGGTGAGACTGATGAATTATTTTGAATATTTGCGACGTCTTGTGATTAACTTTCCAATGAATATTATTGGAGTTTCTTCTCAACATCAACCGTTATTTTAACACCTCGACACGTGTTTCGATCACCAAGTGATCATCTTGAGAGTGGATTGAGAGTTGATACTTTTCAAAACTAGTGAAAAAAATGTTGTTTGATATATTCCACTGAGAGATCACATATTCAATTATCATTAGTTGATACAGAAATGTTACTGGTTTCAGTTTTTGTCAAATACCTCCCAAAAAACATACCTTTCAAAGTGTGATACCATTCATGACATCGCCAAAAAACTGTTCCGAAACAATAAATGCCCGATTTCTCGGGAAGATAGTTTGGTAACCCGAATAGTTTAAGATTCGTTTAGATTATGAATTGGAAGTAATATTCTTAAATTTTTCACAAAAGAGAAATCGCGTGAAAAACTACCACTAGACCAGTCCAGAAGCATTACAGTTTTTGTACACGGAAGAGTAAGATAAGTGGCATAAGCCTCTTGAGAAATTTCTAGAGATTCCAAAATCTGATTGACTATTCTGAGTTTACGATTGTACAGGTATATATTGAAAAGACACAATTATATATTCCTTATGATTATATTGCTTTTATAGGGATGCAGGCTTTCAAGGCTGGCGTCAATGTTTTGGTTGATTTCCGAGTTTTGCCGTGGTTGAAACGTTTGGAGATTGTAACCAAAAAAGAGCTCGGCGAAACCTGGAAACCAACCAAAATATATTGCTTTCATTTCCTTACTTGAGTCATAAGGGTGGTACATATTTGGTATGACGCATAATTTAGAACGACTTCAAAGTCGAAATTTTATCAATTTATCAGGAGAGTATAGAAAAGGATCCGTTTGAAAAAATCGTATTTAATCGTAGTTTCGTTTTCAATTTTGAAAATTAGTTTTAAACTCAGGATTTTGACTTTATATTCAATAGGTTCTAAATAAAAATTTTGGAATTTTTTTTACGTTAAACGGTCTTTACGAATCGTAATTTCTGAGTTTGTTAGTTGGTAATTTAAAATTCCATTTTGGACCGAAATCAATGTATCATGATGGAATTATAATATACAGTGTCATCCCCAAAGTATGCACCATATGGGAAACTTATTTATTAAGGGTTTTTTGACAAAAAGGTATTCTTGATAAAAGTTTGTGCATTTCCTAAAACTGAACATGCACTAATAAAATACAGTAAAACACACGTAAATTTGAGACAAGAGTAAAGTACTCTCATTTTGAAAAATCTCGGGAAATGTTATTTGGAAAAGTTGTTCAGCATTGAAAAATACATCTAGATTTGAAGTCATGGCCATCTTAGTGAAGTTTTATTTTTTACATGTTTTTTTTTATGGGCACTACGAAAAAGAAATTGCTAAAATGATAAATAGACAGCATCCTGTATACGACAATTCATTTTGAAAGCCTGTAATAATACGAATTACACAACTATGGTGTTAACCACGGTCAATTTTTTTGAAGAGTGAAATAATTTTCAAAGTTTTAAAGTTTTTGGTGCAAAGTTATTTTTATTTTTTGTTAACACCGAAAATTACTCAAAATTATACAGTATTTTAACGAGAACTCAATATTCAATCACAAAACATCAAAATAAAATAGGCATTTTGGAACGAACTCATTGATTTTCTGGAGATTATTATGGAGGTTTATTCCGAAATAACAAATTTATTTTGATGTTTTATGATTTGACATTATTGAATATTGAGTTTCCGTTACAATACTGTATAATTTTGAGTGCTTTTCGGTGTTAGCAAAAAATAAAAATAACTTTGCACCAAAAACTTTGAAAATTATTTTACTCTTCGAAAAAATTGACCGCGGTTAACACCATAGTTGTATAATTCGTAATATTTCAAGGTTTTAGAATAAACCTTCGTATACAGAATGCTGTCTATTTATCGTTTTAGCAAAAAATTTTTTCTAGTCCCCATTGAAAAAAACATAGTTAAAAAAATAAATCTTCACTTAGATGGCCATGACTTCAAATCTGAACAACTTTCCTAAATAACATTTCCCGAGATTATCCAAAATGAGGGTACTTTACTTTTGTGTGATATCAAATTTTTGAAGGCTCCTCATATATTACGCGTGTTTTACTATATTTTGTTGGTGCATGTTTAGTTTTAGAGAATGCACAAACTTTTATCAAAAGTGTATATAAGCTGTCTACGTCCTAGACCGACCCACCGTGTCAAACAAATAGTTCATATGTTGGCCACTGATGGGGCCCCTAATGTTACTTCACTAAGAGACTTGATATTCCCGAAGATTGAAGCACCCCGTGTTCAGCATGATCTCGAAACAGGGCCAGAACCCGCTGTTTCACCAGAATTACCGTCTAAAGGCTGACAGAAGAAGTTGAAGACCAAAATGTTCTGCTGACAAACAATTCGGCTTCAGGAAGCACACTCCATCGAACTGTAGGCCCTGAGACTAGTCGAGAAATCCATCTTTAACCCAAACAACAGGAAGACAGTCCATCTTGTCCTAGACAGAAAGTCTGGCATGAATGCCTTCTACACAAAATTCTCGCTTTCGACCTGCATCTGGCCTGTCCGGTTGATTAGCTTCTTTCTGAAAGGTTGAACATTTCAAGTCCGAGTCGAAAGAACCCCCAGGGAAATCCTAGCTGGAGTGCCTGAGGAAGCTGTGCTGTCTCCACTAATCTACAGCCTCTACGTGAGAGACTTCTCCAGGTTCGACCACGTTGAGGTTTCTCTTTATGCCGATGATACGGCTCTCCTCGCCTCTTCCGTGGGTCGTGAGTTGGTGGTCGGCTACATGCAACGGGCATTAGACGACCTCGAACACTGATACCTTGACTGGAAGATCCGAGTGAAGCCAGAAAAAAACCCAAGCGATAGATTTAGGGAGACGTAACGTTTCTCCGAACACGAAGGTAACGATCTCAGGCAGGTAGATCGAATGGCGTTCCCGAGTCAAGCACTTGGGTCTTATGATAGACCATGGTCTCACCTGCAAACACCACGCCATGACGACCAAGAGCATAGTCAGGCTCCATCCTCTTATCAACCGTAATTCGAAGCTCGACCCTAAGAAAAAGGTTTTACTGTACAACACCATGTTCATGCATATCATCATGTATGCTTCAGGCTCTCGGGGACAAACCGCCCCGACTAATCTTTCCATTTTGGAAATATTGCGAAATAATATACTACGGATGCTGGTGAATGCTCCATGGTTCGTGCTGAATGAAGCAACCCACAGAGATTTGAAGCTATAGACTATACAGCAGTCCATCCAGTTGTGGAATAAGAGAGTTTTCGAGTCAGCAGAATCTCATGAAAACCCATTAGTTGGGTATATGCTATAGACGACCCCTCCAGATTCAGAAGACCCACTTTTTGTTAAGTAAAGGCCCCATACCGTCCGCAAAAAGTTAACAGTTTGTTTATCAAACACCCCAGTCAGGAAGGGGTGCACAAGGCCAGGGTGGCGTAGAGGTCATGAATCTTTATTCTGCAACCAATCACTCCCAGTCTTGAAACATTCGTTCCCTTGAGGAACACACTTTGTAAGGGAGCCTGTCTACAACCTGATTTAAACGAAGATGATCAATCAGTCTGGTGTCTTAAGGAAGATGTATAGAAAACCTGGTGTTTTTACCGATTCGCATTTTGTTTTGACAAAAACTCTCGACGCGAGAAATGAGATTGCCCCAACTTTGTATAACTACGATAGATGGGGCAAGAATCGAAATCTGTCGCGGGTGTTTTGTTCAGATTTTAAATTTATGGACCAACTCAACTAACATCAATTTATTTCCAAATTCATTGGTTCTTAATCAAGAGTGCCTTAGAGGAAGCGAAGACCAAAGAAGAAAGATGAAAAGAAAAATGAAAATTGCCGTAGGTCTAGCGTTTTTGACAAAATATTTCACATGGGGAAGGAGTCCAAGTGATCACACCAGGGATCTTCTTTGTAACTTGGTCTTAATCATTCTGGGACTAACAATAAGTAGATCAACCGTTAGTTGTTACCAAGTTTAGAAAAGTTCTTTACCTGTCGCATTCAGCGTGCCGAGCTCAACGAAAGTGTTTTCTGTTCCATCATCTCTTGAATTGTCCATTGCTGTCATTTGCAGGCGCCTTTGAAGCGTGGTGAGTTTAAAACCCCGTGAAGGGAAAGCAGAATTAAAAAGCTATCCGTCTGATTGGAGATCCAAACATTGCCTTGAAACACACCCTGAGCATCGGAGGATACTTTCTATATACAGGGTATTCAAATTCGTTTCTGTACATGGGGATCTCGTAAACGATAAGAGATAGAGTGTCCGTTGAATTATAGCAAAGTTGCGTATTTCAGAGACCTATTCAATGATGTGAAGAAATCGACTCATACCTTTAGAAAGTAGGTACCACAAAATTTATATGAATCCGGTAAATGAATATCCGTAGAAGCCACTTTAGGATAGCACTATTTTCCAATTATAACCAGAAACATGTATTTTCGGATTCATACAAATTTTTTCGAAATGAAGCATTATTGGACTTTTCTAAAACTTTGCTAGAAACTTTTTTTTTTCAAATATCACCGTACTTGTTTATTGAATAGCATTGTTTTTGAACCTTTCTTCAATGATCTAAAAGCTGAAGCTATTTTATTCTCTAGTTTAGCCTCGAATATTAGTCAATTTGGACCCAAAAATGCTCCTCATGGTAAAATTGACTTCTTTTGTTTATAATAGAAAAGAGTTTTTTATTCCTAATGAAAAAAAGTTTCTATTCCTACCAATCTATTCCACTTGAAGATAACAACGATAAAGAAATTGGAAAAGAGAAAGACTCAATTTGTCTTTCCTCAGACAAAATATCAACAGAGCAGAAGACCTACTTGTCTTCTACGGAAAACTATTCGAGATAATTAGGAACTTGTAATCAGCCCAACAAAAGTGACCTGACCCAAAGACTACCGATATCCCTACTGATTGTCTTAGATTGAATCTGATCGATACAATATGCTCTAGTTCCCTACTTAGCTTAATCGTAATTATATTACAGCCCATTCTCCTAGGATCAGCTAGTCGATTCCCTACCGTTTAAGTCTATAACTACATCAGTCGAAACATCGCTTGGGGCAGAAACACTCTCCGCCGCCGGAGGCACTCTGAGTTCCTCTTCTTCTTCGTTATTGTACTCTTCGCTTTCTCTATGAACTAAAACTTGCACAACAGTCGCTTCACTGTTCTGTCTATTCAGAGGAGGGCGTGTCAAGTTGTTCTCGGGGGAAGGCTCGGTGACGAGAATGCTAACATCGGTACTGCTGCATTTCTCCGATTGCGACCTGTGACAGCCTCCCGAAGGGGCTACTGACGTTGGCCGAGCTTTGACGGACCCGACGCGCTTCCTTCGTATTATGCTGCCTCTTTTGGGTTTCGCATCGTCCGAAGTACCCGGATGGAGGCTCTGTGGGGTACTGGGGGTTTTGGCGTCTTTGCGGCCGAGCAATGGCGAAGATTTCTCGTCGGGGTTCTCGACGGCGTCTTGCCGCAAGAAGAAGGGGAAGTTGTAGATGCTGCGCCTGCGTGGCTGACTTTGAGGCGTAGGAGTAACGGGGGTGGTAGCTGTAAAGAGTGAAAGATGTTGACAAAATTGAGTTTTGATACCTCTGTATTAGAGAGAACAAAATTCGGAATGGTAGGCCGTAGTGAATGTGTCATCCTCAAATCTGAATATCTTAAAAAATCCAAAAAGCAAGATGAATAATGGAAAATATGAGAAGTAATCAATGAAAATTCATCAGTTGAAAAAAAAAACTGATTATCTGTTGAAATTATTACATTATTTTTCATGGATACATGGATACATGGGAAATAGTCAATGAATATTTTGTGAATTACTGAAAATTTAAAAATGAAAATAAGTAGATGAACTATGCCGGTTCTATTACACCGGAAATTCAACTAACAGAAGCAATGAAGTACGTCGTTTTTCGTGCGTTTTCGACCGTTTTTCGTGCATTTTCGTGCGTAACCGTCACATATTTGACCAACTGCGCCACGAAAGCGCTACACAAAAAGCGTTACGCGAAAAAACTGCGCCACGAAATCGCTACACGAAAAGCGTTACGCGAAAAAACGTTACACGAAAGCGTTATACGAAAAAACGTTACACGAAAAAAATGATCGTTTTGTTTTCGTAACGCTTTTTGTATAGCGCTTTCGTGGCGCAGTTGGTCAAGTATGTGACGGTTACGCACGAAAACGCACGAAAAACGCACGAAAAACGATGTACTTCATTGTTTCTGTTAGTTGAATTTCCGGTGTAATAGAACTGGCATAGTTCATCTACTAAAATACCTCAGAATACATTTCGCTATCTGGGCTATCAGATAATATAACCATAAAAATATCGGAAAAATCAAAGATCTCATTCGCATCTCACTTTAATTGAAAATAATTCATGTTTTGAGGAATGGTCAAGTCAAATTTAATTTATCAATATACCTTAATATACAATGAGGATTGAAAAAACAGTGTATACAGTGCATTTCTTTAATGTCCCCCTCTTTTATTTTTTGAACGGATCAACTCAAAAAATTTAAATTTGAAATAATGAAATTAATGCATGAATGCTTTATTTTGAAGTGAAATTGACAAAATATTCTTATTTAGTTTTCGGTTTTACTAGTAGAAAGGTACCATGTCAACAATCTCTAAAATGGTCGATTCTCGTCCATTGGAAGGAAAAATTGAAGCGATTTTTATTCACGGTGCGACGCGTAACTTTCACGATACCGAAAGGATTTTCAATGAACGTTTTCTGAATGATCCTATCTGTAGAAAATATTTGAGGAAACTTGTATCCAAATTCACAACTACCGGTAGTGTACATAACAAAAAGCGCCCAGGTCATCCGTCCATTCTGGAAGAACAGCAGTCTACTTACAGTCTACTTATTCCGTCGCGAATGTTTGTGAGGTGTCCCTTTTTACTGTGTGGAGACTACACACCAATTCATTGAAGATGACCCTGATCGAAGAACATAATTCTGCGAAATCATGACGGAATCCATTGCAAGGCATCCTACCTATCTCCACAATATTTGTTTTAGTGACTAATGTACATTTTTTTAAACGGCAATGTTCACAGACAAAATTACCGTTATTGGAGTGACACCAACCCTCAATTTCCCGGGAAACACATACCCAATATCCAGAAAAAATTAATGTTTGGGCAGGAATATTGGGAAACCATATTGTGGGACCTCTATTTATTGATCAAAATTTAAAAGGGGAACTCTATTTGAATATCCTGGAAACTACTGTTGACCCTCTCATCACTGAAATCATCGAAGCGAATCCTAATGAATTCGATATGGATATTGTATTCCAACAAGATGGAGCACCACAACATTACTCCAGACAAGTAAGAAACTATTTGGATACTACTTTTCCCGATCGTTGGATTGACCGTCGAGGTCCTACAGAATGACCAGCTCACTCGCCAGATTTGACACCTTTGGAATTTTTTATGGGGCTATTTGAAGCAAAAGGTGTACGAAACTGAATCTGAATATTTGTAGAGATATTGACTTTACTGTGTTCGGAAATGTTCGGCGTGAAATATCGTATAGGCTGTTCATATCTCAAGAAGTTCAAGGCAACCATTTCGAGCATCTTCTGAACTGACCTCAAACTTATTACCTCATATTATGTAGTTAAATGTTAATGTATTCAGGCAATTATTAAAAGTTCCGCCATTTTGTAGTAGTTGAAGATATTGACATTGTGAAGCATTTGTCAGGAGCTTCAAAATTATGTGTCACAAGACCCCCCTTTCAATTTAATTTGTTTGCAGATGGCGTCCAGTCGCCATCTTGAAAGTTTTATCTGTTAATTTTACTTGAAAATAAAGTATTCATGCATTCATTTCATTATCCCAAATTTCAATTTTTTGAGTTGACCCGTTCAGAAAATAAAAGGGGGGGAAATTAAAGAAATGCACTGTATAATTCAGAACAAAGTAGTGAAGACTCTTCTCAAAATTCTTTGGCTGACCCCAAATGAAACAAAAATGTACATAAAACGTAGTTACTGTATAAATAAAAGAAAACATTATAGAAAGGACATACATTTTTATAATTATCAAGAATCTCTGAGAGTAGTCATAAAATCAGCATTAAAACTAGAAAGGAAAAAATCAGATGGTGTACGATCAGATGGTGACCTCAAGGGGAAATATTATCCAAGTAGATTCACTACATACTCTAAAAATCCATTCAAAACTTCTTGTAGAAGTTCAAACATATTTTTTTATAATTCAACTTTCGAACTGAACCCTCAAAATTCACGTAAGTACTCACCAGCCTCCGGACTCGCTTCGCTGACTTTGATGCTGACATCGGCGGCGTCGCGCGTCAAATCCAACTCCTCCGGGGACATGTTGGTGGCGCTGGAGAGCAACAGCAGCGGCAGGTTCAGCCAAGGGCCGCCGAGTTCGCTGAGGTCGCTCGCGTCGGACGCCCTCGAGGATTTGCGAGAAGACGCGCGACTCCCTCGATGTACGTGCAAGAAAGCTGACAGCCGGCCCTGCCAACCGCCTCCCGGCGATGAAGTTTGCGTCGTCTCGTCTATCTCTTCGGCTTCTCGTTCTCTCTCTTTCTTACGCCTGAAATGAAGCAAAATGAAACTCTAGAGCTTCAACTAGAGCTCTATCAAATATGATGTGAATTTTGTAATGAATAGGTTTCTGTTTTGGTTGGTTTTCGGGTTTTTGCCGTGTTTTTCTTTTTGGTTACAATTTCCGAACCTTTCAACAGCAACTGAGGCAGTCATCTTCAGTGGCGTGGTCGAAGTACTCTTCTTGACGTATCAACTGAAACTGTTGATACGTCAAGTTTCTTATCAGAATGGGATTCCATATTCGGTTGAGGTTCCAAGCTTCTTCTTTTCTGTTGAGATTCTCCGTGTGTTTGTGTATCTCTATTGCCTCCTGAACCAGTCAGCTATGGTATTCCTGATTGGGTGCCATGAGTTTCGTGTTTTGAAACAGAATCCTGTGGTTTCCTTCACTGAGTGCATGTTCTGACACAGCCCAATTGTTTGTTTGGCCTAGTCTGCAGTTTCTTTCGTGCTCCTTCAGCCTTGTTCCCATGGATCTTTTAGTGGTTCTGATGTATACCTTGCCACAAGTGCACCGTATGCGATATACATTTGCTGTTGACAGTGGGTCTCTCTTGTCTTTAGCCGACCTAAGACTTTGTTGTACCTTCTTGGTGGGTTTGAAACCCGTTTTAATGTTGTGTTTCCCCAAGAGTTTTCCAATTCTGTCTGTGAGCCTAGGGATATATGGGACATACGCACGTGCAAACATCTGAGCCTCCTCTCCATTTGGAACCGTGGAATTTACTTTCATGACCTTGCTGATATCGGATACTGTATTCATTCGATCTCAGGTTCACTTGAAGACGATCCAGTTCTTCCTCGAGATGCTCTGATTCACATAAATACCCGAGTAAACATGAACATGCTTTACGCAAACGTAATATTTAATCATCGGAGGTAACCTCTGAAAAAGCTAGCCACTCGCGCATGCGAAACGTCAAGAAAAAATTGCAAAAATCGGTGGCCTTCAAACCCGAAAAATAATGACACTGATCTGTATCTGTAGAGTAGGAAGGGCGAGTGTAAGACCACAGCACTTAGGCCACATGTGACCCATTGTACATCCTCCCGAAGAGTTGTCCTCCTAGGTCATCGTCCATCCTGTCCTTTCCAGGAAGGTGGACAGGTCACTGGGAGATATCTCCTTTATATCGGCAGATGTAGGCCAAGACTCGCCGAACACACACTCTCTTATTGACAATAACTCCGGGCACTCGCATAGGACATGCCTGACAGTCTCATCCTCCTGTTCACACATCTCGTATAGAGGTGTATCCACTAGCCCCAAATTATGGAGGTGTTTTTTAGTTGACAATGGCCAGTAAAAACTCCTACTGTTGAGCGTAGATTTTTCCTGGTCATCGCCAGATATTTCTTCGGCGTCAGCTTCCCAGGGTCGCCCAGGGTGATCCTGGCAAGATTGCATCCTTTGATTCCATCCCATCTCTTTAGGGATTGAGCATGGGTGTAACATTTGGAAAGTTCCGCAATTGTTGAAGTCATGAGGCCGCAGGTGTCACTGGTTCCTAAAATTCTTAGTCCAGCCGCTTTCTTGGGTAAAGAGTCGGCAGTGTGATTACCTTTACTCCTGTCGTGTCGTTCAACCCACCTGAGGATAATGTTATTATCTACCGAGGCTTTGGTTAAATCTTGGTGGCACTCTAGTACTAGCCCTGGGGTAACACAGTGCAGATTGTTATGTTTTTGCCAAAAATTCCTTTCCTGGTTATTTCTTTTGTGGCGATTGAGACACCAGCCAGTTCTGTTTGGACCACGCTTGAATTTTTTCCCATTCTCCACTCAATCCTCAGGCTTAGTAATCTCCACATCCTGAACCTTCTTGGTTTTTGAGCCGTCTGTATATATGCGTATTGCATTTGTAGCATCTGAATCTGTGTTCTGTATTATTTGTATTTTGTATTTGTATTAAACACAAACCTGAGTTCAATTGCATCACTGGTTGCCTGCAGCAGAGGTTGCGCGGTAAGCGCTTCTCGCCATTGGCTCAGCCTCAATTGACCCATTCCTACTTCTAGGTTTACACCAGCAGTGCACAATCGTAACATGGCCATTAACGCAACCTCCTTAACGTACAGGTCCAGAGGGGTCAGACCCGTAATTAATTCCATTGCCGTGGTTGGTGTTGTTTTCATGGCTCCTGTGATGTTTAAACAAGCCAGTCGCTGTATTTGATATAATGTTTGGATGGCCGTTGCTTGTAGAACTTTCGGTCCCCATACAATGGCTCCGTACGTTAACATAGGACTTATTATTGCAGTGTAAATCCAGATGACCATCGTCCCACGGTCCTCCGACATTGCTCATTATGCTCATAAGCCACATATGCTCTTTTTGCTCTACACTGTAGGTGAGAGTTCCATGTTAGCTTCCTGTCGAGAATAGTATCAAGGTATTTCTCCTCTTCAGAGAAGTTTAGTTTGCTTTTGAGGATTTCGGGATTTTTTAAAGCCCGATAAACCTCTTTTCCTGGTGAAAAGGGCCACCTGAACGGCTTTGAAATGCCCAGTGGAGGATCAAGAGAAGCTATGAAGTCTGAGAGCTGGGTAAATCGGATGAACTGAGTGGCGTGAGGATCGTACCTTGAAAGAAATCGATGCTGATAAATGCTGTTGATCTCAAGAATGCATAAGATTATAAGCAAGGTATTCCAGACCGTAGGCTGTGTCGAGTCATATCGTAGTTCCTGTTAGTTTTTATGTACCACATCGTAAATGGTTATTCAACCCTAAATATGTTCTCTAATCAAGGTTAATCAAACATTTGTAATTTCGAAACTGGATATTATGAAGCGGTTATTTGAACGATTGACAACTTCAATCTTGGATTATAGTTCTTATAAATACCTGGCTTGGAACAATCAAGTATAATACTCACTTGCTCCACCGAATGTAGAACATCTCCAGATCGTCCTCGACGATGCCGATCTCCTCCTCCTGGTGAGCTTGGTTGAAATTCTCAAGAATAATCGCTATATACATATTGATAACTATCATGTAATTGATGATGATGAAGCTCGTGAAGTATATTATGGCCAGCAGCGGGTATCCGCAATCGCCATTGCTCTGATTCCTGTAGTGGGGATCGCAGTCCGGGTACTCGATCATGAGAGATTCTAGGACGTCGTTCCACCCCGCCGAGGTGATGAGGCGGAAAAGGAGGTGCATCGACCTGCCAAACGTTTGAAAGTTCACCATGTCGTCGAGCGCCCCCTGCTGCCGGACGTGGCCGAAGAGAAACATCCCGATGATGGCGTAGATGAAGGTGATGAGGGCGAGCAGGGCGCCGATATTGAAGAGCGCCGGTAGAGAGACTATTAGAGCGAACAGGAGTTTTCTGATACCCTTGGCAGCCTGCAAATATTAATGATAATGATAACGATGTATATACTGTTGTAAATCATGCCCCAATGAAAATAACGCTGGCCGCCACTGGTAGCCATAAACCAATTGTGACGTAGCTAAGAGCGCGCGAATGTACGATGTTCGATGCCGTTCTAGATGTAGATGGGAGTTCGAGGAATGCTCCGGCGCATTCGAGTGCCAAATATAAGCGCGATCCACTCGCCCATCAAGACAGTCAAGTGGAAGTTACAGTGTGGTACGCGAAGCTATCTAGTAAGGCGATAGACATTCGAATAAGTTTTATTTGAAGTGTGGAATAAAGTTAGGTTTGATTATTGTTCAGTGTAGTCAATCATTGGTCAACCCACAGGAAAAAACGTAACAATACATATATGTACAAGCATACATGTTTATACTGTTCTAAACATGTTAACACTGGTCGAAACCCTCGAAAGACATGCTGCGAAGAATAAAGAACTTCAAATCTCAATAAATGAAGTTATTGGTTACTTTCTTAGATACAATACAATACAATATAATACAATATAATACAATCGTAATGGAAAAAAGAATAGTGATATGTGTAGTAGGGGGCATAGTGCCTAGTTCAATAAATCGTGTAATTGACAAGTTAGAACATGCAACCTACCCAGAACAAATAAAATAATAAAATCTGTCGATGTATGTAGCACAACCAAGGAAGAAAGGATCCACATCAACAATTGACCATATGACCATAAGACCAAGATCGAGGAACGAGAATCTCCAAAACTTCGAGCTGAAGAGATATAATTGTGAAGGATGAAAGGAAAGACGGATATAATACATGATGAACATCAAAGATGACTCTAAAATACTCAGTCGGCACAAAATTTGCGGTCGAAATGACAGGAAGAGTTATTCTGTATGATCGTGATGAACAAAAACGTTGAAACCCACCATTATTCCAAAATTACAATTATATTTTGTTATTCGAATGCATTCAAAACCAATACAACTAGCACGTTATAGATCAACGATTATGGACATACAGGATTGCTTACTTTTGCGATTTTGTTAGACACGTCACGTGATCTCGTGACGTAACAGTGGTGACTCTGGATTGATTCGGTACTGCATTTTAATAAGTATAATCGCCCAAACCAGGTAGATCATTTTTATGCTTTTTAGCAAAGTATCCAGCAATATATTCTGAAAAGACCTCTGTTATTTCTGGAATATTCGTAATTGAAGTTGAAGGAATGTTGGTAGAAATATCAGAACTACTAGATGAAAATGAGCTACTGCAATTTGATCCTATTGTCTGCTCTAAAATCGTGTCTGCGTAAATTTCAATTTCATTTAGACCACGGCTTCTAATTTGACAAAATCCAGTTTTGAGAGTGAATTTATCCCCTTTTTTGCAGCGACGAATAGGATAAGAATGAAATATTACATCAGTAACACCACTTTTCTTTATAGTCAACTGATTGCTTTTGCAAGTTGACACTGCACAAATACGACCAGGCATTTTAACTAAAAATTACAAGGTTAGTTAATGGTTAGACAATTATTGCTATTACTTACAAAAATGTGAATATTTTCAATTTTTACCTGAATTTAATTTAAAAATGTTCAAAAAACAAACGTGGCGATATATCTAAGTAAGCAATCCTGTATGTCCATAATCGTTGGTTATAGGTTATGTTATTAATCCGATGGATATGAAACGGTGAATACAAATGGAGATACATTTATGGTAGACAGAAGACGCATGGGGGTTCTTATTTGGGAAGGTCAGCGAGTGGTAGTATTGAAAGTGAAGAGAAATATTCAAATTAGGTAATGAAGAAAATTGGTTAAAATTAAAAAAAAACGGTTTGTCAGAAGATTCCGAAGAAAATCGGATAAAGACACTATAAAGTGTCTTTGGACAGGGTAGGATACTGCTAATAGCTGACTCATGGCTGTAGCAATGAGTTCTGAAAGTTTTTTATTATTTATTTATATTTTTGACCACATAAATGCTCAACACCCTAGCATCAAGTTCACCATGGAGACTGAACAGGAACAAAGGAAAACCGGTACACTTTATGTGTCCAAGATCTGCGAAAGTCAAAAGAGATCCCCTATCAGCTGCGGGGGTATATCGTATACCATGCACCTGCGAAAAAGTTTATATAGATACCACCAAAAGATCCATGGGTACAAGGCTGAATGAACATCGGAGAAACTGTAGATTAGATCAAATAGGCAAATCGGCAGTACCGGAACACGCACTTAGTCAAGGAGATCACACGATACTGTTTGGAATTGTGAAACTACTTGCCCCCGATCATGGATACCACAGTCGGCTTGTACGGGAAGCCATAGAAATCCATAAACAACTAGTGTGTGTGTGTGTGTGTGCAACTAGCGTTACGCTAGTTGCACACACACCGATTTTGGACGGCCGACTTTGTACCGGTCGTCCAAATTCCAATAGTGAACCACATGTGGGAACAGGACCTGGCACACACGCCGACCGGTGATCGTCGCCGGTAAAATACCGGTGAGCAGCTGTCCACTGCCACCGTATCGCCGACAGTACCGGGAAGTAGTGGCGTACATGACTAAATACACTCTTGCATACTCACCGGTTTTTTACCGACCATTCCAGTCTCGAATGCTCGGTGGAATTGTAGTTAATACGCATTAACTTCGTTTTGGTAGTGCGTGCTAATTACGACAACAAAGCAACTGATTGTTTGACCGATAAAAATCCGGTGAGTGTGCAAGCACCTGCTACCAATAAAATATCAGCTGATTTTATACTGGCCATCCAAAATCGGTGTGTGTGTGCAACTATCGTTAGGATGCAGTTCCAAACTACGACGTCCTTCAAACCCGAATGGAGATAGTTACACAGAATCTCTCGGCCGCGAAAACCTTAACCAATTTAGCAAAGAAAAAATTACAATTTCTGTCGATCTTTCAAATCGAAGAGCACCCAGCCATCTTTGACCTTTCCAATACGCTTTAAACCATCAAAACAGAATGAAAGCTGACGCCTAGTTTTTCTGCCATCACAGGCACGTGCTCTTCAGACGCCTAAGGAAGCTATTGTACAGCGAAACACGTGTTGCGGCTTTGTGAAGTGTCCAATGAAAATCTCACAGTGATGTGTTACTTGAATATTCTCTTTGAAGATTCAATGGACATTGAAATAAGAAAATGTTTTGAACATTCGCTTGCTAACTAGGCTCTATTTTACAAATAATTTTTTGGTAAATGAATTATTACAACTCATTTTCAGTTACTAATCATATCATCGTGTTGCTTGCCAGTTCACAATAAGATAAAATTAGTCTAAGTGTTACTGACATATGTAAAGAGAAATGAGAACAATGGATGAAAGTGTGACAATTGAGCTTTTTCTAGGTCTATGTGGGGTCCAACCTTGAACATGAAAGAAACTTTTGAAAAAACCTGATATAATGTATATTAACTTAGTATGTAACATGTGATATTAACGAGGTTTCTTGAACTCCATGAAGGACTGTATCTTACATGGAAACTTGCATTTACAAACTATTTTTATAATTTAAAATTCTTTCATTTTCACATTAATCACATTATGATGATTCAACTACCACTTCAGTTTCAAAATGACACTCAAATTTAATTATGTTATATTTTCAATAATTTTTTCAACAATTCCTGTGATTCGGTCGAAAATTATTTACTATCTTTCTGAAAAGTGCAATGCACACATTTTCTATACGAGATGTAGATTTTCATTCTTATAATAGTCACATGTAGCGTCACACTTTGAGCTTAGATGTGTTTTTCTTGGTCCATTCTTGTTAACGAGACCTGTTCAGTTTGGAAGTTATTCCAGAAACTCAATTTTCAAAATCACATGGGTAAAAACATCATCGAAGGGTTTCAACAGAAATTTGTGTTCTTGATCTTGTACGATATCGTGGATTCACCAGTGCGCTTGATATTTTTTCAAATTATAGTAACCTCAATATTCAGAAATACTCATTATTCCACAAAAATGCTATTCAAATAATTCATTTATTGTTATTAATAAATCTCACCTTAATTAATCGTAAAATTCTTCCTATCCTAAAAACTCTAACTACTCGAAGAAGGGTTGGGGAAACAGGAAAGTCTATCATGATGTCTTCCATGAGAATGCCAAGAATGGAAGCCAAAACCAACAAGAAGTCGAAAACATTCCATGGAACGGTGAAGTAATGATAACGTAGTCCTATTATTTTCACTATCGCTTCTGAAACACATTTTTCAAAGTTGTGAGTATTTGTTTTAATATGGTTGGCAGAATTTATTGACTAGAGTAGTGGAGAGTACCTTACCACAATATTGAATTAACATTTATGTCAAGTCATATAATGTATGTCGAGAAATATTAATGGAAATATGCCACTGTTGCCATATAGTCATATAAAAAATACAAATTTGAAAAGGTAAAGCCATAAAATACATAAACAAGGAATACATGATCATCAACATATGAAAATAAAATGAATCAAAGCTAGAAAGTGCTAGTTGAGCTGAGCACATTACAATGGACTATATAGTTGAATATTGCCAAGGTTCAAATGAAATCATCTGAAGAAACAAGTCGTTCAGGCCAGTCTCAACTCCCTACATCTATGCTGCCGCAATAGATTTTCAATCGGTGGAACACACTTGCAGACCGGTTTCAGGCTGTTTGGCCACTCGTCAGTGCATGGTAGTGTCTATCATCAACATGAAGTCGATTATTTCCTAATTGAAAATCGAATTCCTTCAGAGTATTATTCAACGAACTAAGCTGAAGCGGACCAAAAACAACAGGTTTGTCATCGCCCCATCTACCTGTGAACGAGGTAACCAAACGCATATCCGAAATTTGCCCAATTCCTCGTATAAGGAAAGAAAACTTTTCACATATAGTGTTCCTTCATATGATTTGATTCATAGCCAGTCTTCAAGTATGCCCACCGACTATATGTGAAAAGGTTCAATTGCTTTTTTGTTGTGTTGAAGGAGTGAAGTTATCTCTGCGGCTTTCGTGGGGCCTTTTGCTAAACAGGTTTCAATTCAGTGACAGAGTTGTGATCACCTCATTCGAAAACTGAACCGAGTTCATGAGCCACTCAACCAGTTATCCTAAAGAGAAATGCTCCAATTCCTGCTCTCTCATTGTCACGGACTATGCAGAAAAGGGAATCATGTAGACACTCTACACTCCGAAGTTCACTGCTATCCTGTTGTCGGGAGAAGAACAACCGTTGAACCGACGATTTCAGATGCAAACTTCAATCAAGATTCAAAATTTTTCAGATCTTCACGTTGAGTTATTACAGATCTTTCCGAGTCCAATTCACCATTCCAAATTAATAGACAGCCCCAAGGACCAGATCAGTCGGAGTTTATGCTGATACTTGCCGCGGAGAGTTCTATGCTGCTGTTACCTCTTGTGAGTGTTGTATTCTACCCCGAGGTTAGTATACGTCTCTCTGGCATCCAGATGGTGCAGGATACTTCCATCTATGAGCTTTATATCCTCTCCGTAATCCTGGCATCCTACTTTGAAATTGATCGTTGAACATTTTTCTATCCCAACTATCATACCGATTGAATGCATGTACACTTCCATCACCCTCAACGGCTGATGGGGATCCTTTCCTGCAGTGGCATAAAGTTTCGGATCATACTTATAAAACAAACCAGTGATCTTAAGCTTCCAGTTTCCGGGGGTACCACAGTTATACCCTCTATTATTTCTAAGATGCAGAAAAGAAGAGGACTGGGGGAATCGCCCTGAAATACACCCCTTCTAGGGTGTTCAAGGCAACGCAAGGCATCTGAGCAAATGCACGATGAGTGTATGAGATGTTGTACCAAATTCATTGCGGCAATCGATCCAGGTCACAGAAAGGTTACGTTTATTTTGTATTGAGTGTTACCTCAGGGCTAGTACTAGAGTGCCACCAAGATTTAGCTAGAGCCTCGGTAGATAATCAACATCATCCTGAGGTGGGTTGAAGGACACGGCAGGAGTGAAGGTAATTGCATTGCCGACTCCTGTCGATATAAAAATGTCTCCTAGTGATCTGTCCACCTTCCTGGAAATCCTGGAAAGTACAGGATGGACGATGACCTTGGAGGACAATTCCTAGGGAGGATGTACAATGGATCACATGTGGCTTAAGTTCTGTGGGCCTACACTAACCCTGTCTACTCTACAGATACAGACACTGTAGATACTGTATTGAGTCCTGTGTTACACATCTATCGATGAGCAGATTCTCCTAAAATACACCGACGCCTCTCTTGGATCCTCTTTGCTCATATATCCGTTCGAATACTCGTTCAAATGTGGTTAGTATTTTGAGCATGTTGTCTGTTTGTGATTTTCAGGAAACGATAAAACGATACGGTATGTCCCTCACTGATCTCCGTCTAGCCATAAGTTGGAAACTCTGGCCAGATGGCGATGGGTGTTTGGTAGTTTTTTCCACCAATAACTGATAAGCCCATCTTAGCCCGGAGAGAAAACTTATTGAAACCCCCAAGGGATCTTCGAATGTCAACCACGGTTATCGGGATGTGTAGTTCTTTGAGCTCAGACTGTTGAAAGCTTCGAAATGCGCTAGGGTTGGAGTATCTGAGTTGAGTGGTGGTAAGCATTCATTAATGTCCTTCCAGAAGGACTCCACTTGTTCAGCGGCTAACAGATTATCCACAACACGCGGAGGCTTTCAAAATGAGTGGAAAGGTTTACCGCGGAGCTTAAGGTTTTTGCGATACTTCTCGCTCTCCTCACTAGTGACTATTCTATCAGAGCAGGGTTGTTTGGTGGTCAGCAGCATGCTTTGATAAGTGTGATGGATACGCCGTAATTTGGGGGCTATTTGCCGCACTGCGGGCGTAAATGGCCTGTTGGCCGCTCTGCAATTGGACACGAGACGCGTGTTGTCTCGCCAACTTTGTGTAACCGCTGGTGAAGTTTTGGAAGTTTCAAATTCAACATTCAAACCACTCGAAACAAAAACTGTCGTGCTCTTTGTAATTTTTAAATTCACGTTTGTTTTGGGTTACAGCAACAGTCAAGTTCTAGTCATAATATGGGATCCGCTTACTAAGTGATTTGATTTCTAACAGAAACACTTACCTAAACTGAAAACAGTAGTGAAAAACGCATTGCTGACTTCTAAAACGAAGAAAACAGAATGCGGTTGTCCGTAATGTTCTATTCCCATACTCAACATGTTCAAAAAAATCAACACAAAAATGGCGATTTCGAAACGCCTAGAGTTCGACAAGTCGTAGAACATAGCCAAGAACTGATTCATAGGTCTCTTTATCACTTTCTGCGGCTTCTTTCTGCCAAGTTTCTTCATCGCCGTGTAATAATGTTTCTGGCTTTCGGTCAGGAACATTTCTAACACTCCGCCTTCATACTGCAATAGGAAGCGGTTAGCGAAAGCGTGACAACTTCATCGGTCTTACCTTCTTCTTCAGCATGTTGAAATTGTCAATGATGACTCCAATGAATAGGTTGAGAGTGAAGAAGGAACCGCAAACTATGAAAATAACGAAATAAATGTAGGCGTAAAGGTTTGCCTCCCTTTGTGGCTGCAAATCTACCCCTCTCGCATCCACTGCATCTGCCATGACCTCCATCCATCCTTCGAAGGTTGCCTTGAAAAAATGTTTCACAATAATATTATTTGTTCCCGAAAATACGAATTGATTGTGATATAATATGTTTAAATACTTACAACTTGAAATAACGCCAGGTAAGCCACTCCCACGTGATCGAAAGATATTTTGGAGTTCATCCACGTGTAGTTCTGGTTTTCACACTCCCATTTATTCTCTACAACCTGAAAATGATCACAGTAGTACGAACAGCAAAAATTGAGCTAAAATAGTATTTTTGAAGAATATACAAAGATGAAAATTGCAGTCATCTGCTGCTGTGCGCTTTGCCTATTGTAAGTTGTTCAAAATGAGAAAAAGTTCCCCCTATTCACACACTGTGGACACTCATCAGTAACTTTTGATGAAAAACCAATATATTCGAGGTGCAAGCAAAGAAGAAAATGTACAAAGTCCTTACCAATCTATAAGTTTCCCCGTATTTTAGTAATTCATTTGAAAATATTCTATCCAACGGAAAGATTCAGAAGCAAATTGGAGGTTTCCATTATTTTAATTCAGATGGATTACATATGAGCAATTATGCAGCAGACAATGTGGCTCCTTGTCGTTATAATCTATATGCACTTTCAAATCCATTACACAGCATATTGTAATGTATTGTACCCATATAGTGGCACGCGGTATGAATACAACGATTCACACGTGTTCAAAATTTCGCCAAAATCACTTGTGAGTGATGAGGCATATGTCCTCTTTTATGAATAGGAGGGAACGAAGCAGCACCTTTAAGGTGATTTTTTTTCCTTTTTTTCATAATCTTAGTTCTCTGAATTGATTTGTATTTCATGATTCTTCCAAATTTCATTATGTATTGTAATATATTACTCTTGATGATGAGTTACTTGAAATGATCATTTGAAATGGATTTATAAGGAACCAAAAAAATTTTTCAACATATAAAGTTTCAGAATAATATCCCTGCTTATCACCTCGAAACAAAAAATGTCTAAGGATACATAGGTTTGAGGAGAAAACAGGAGAAAACACAAGCACTACGGGAAAAATTTTAAGTCGCTCTCAGAGCGGTGGCTGTGCGAAACTAGCAATTCACATTGGATTTGAATCGCTAGATATTAAATCCATTTGGAAAAACGAACTTCATTCCATTTTTCGAAGAATGTTTGTTGAAATAATTTCAATAGCATTTGTTGCCTTTTTTACAGGAAATATTACAATTTTTATAATTTTTCAGAATCAATAACTTCAACGAACACTCAAATAGTTTTTTAATATATCTATATGAGCTCCCCCTATTTGAGCTCCCCAAACTATAACCTTGTGATGCTGGAGAACGAAATGCCTTGCATTCCAGATGCTTGAATGGATCTAACACAAAAAAACATTGTTTCGACCCGCTATAGGTATCATCAGTGATGATAGGCTGAATCACGAATGCACTGCTGGACTCAACTGTTCTCAAAGTTCAAGCCTGAGTAAACGTCATTTATGGGATCATCAGAAGACTCAACCAAAGATAAACGAGGCTCCCCAGAATCAGAGTCTTGTTTCGATCCTCTAGATATTGTTTCTTTTAGATGGGATGTCCCTCTTCAGGATTTTCCTCTGAAGACAGTTGAACCCAGCAATGCATTCTGGTTCAGCCTACCACCCCTTTGTAGGGAGAGATATCACTGCCTTCACATTCCAAGTAGATGCAATTTAACTACCTCTATTCATTTGCATTTTTTATACTCTTGAATGGAGAAACACTAAAAGTGTTTCACAAGGTTCGAACATATTAATAAAAACACCACTTACACTTATATCTAGCCTTTCGCCTTCGTCATCGACGCATTTATAAAACTTCCCGCTGAAAAACTGAACGCCCATGATGGAAAATATCAGCCAGAATACAAGGCACACCAGCAGGACGTTGAAGATGCTCGGAATGGCGTACATGAGGGCGTTCACCACGATCCTCATCCCTTGCCACCTGCTTATAGCTCGCAGAGGCCTGAGCGCCCTCAAAGTCCTCAATGAGCGAAGCACTTTCAAGTTTTCGTTTTCTTCTATCAACAAACTGAATAACGACACCTGAAAAGTTTACTGATATGATACTGAATACTTCGAAAGTTGGAAAATGCTGATACTTCGGATTGGTTGTTTTTTTTTAAGGAGGAATCTTTGATGCATACATATTTCAAGCCTTATCACTTCCATCCTCTCTGGAGGTACAGGTCCAACTATTGAATCTTGAATGCGGTTAGGGGTCTCGCGATTTTGGCTTCTACATCTGCTCACAGTGGTTTATTCAATTGTTGAACCAGTACCGATATTTCAACTTCGACCGTTATGGAAACGGTAGGTGCGCTAGTATTACAGCATAGTTTTTCAATGAACAAAATCCAAATAATTATGCTGATGAAAGCAAGTGAGATACAATGGATGACAAATGAAGGGGGAAATCCCAAAATGAAACATGGGAACCGAAGTTATAGAATTTGCTGATTTTGGTCACGTTACTATTGATCCTACGTTGAGTATCAGTCAATTATTTATTTTTTCTGACATAGCCTCAAGAGCATTCAAAAAATTTCAAAATTCCATACATTTCAGCCATATGAAGCTCATCTTGTGCACGAAGTGACAATGATTTTTACAATTTCTAGCAATTTCGCGAGTTCTGCAGTGATTGAAAAATATAAAACCCGAATATTCTGTACCACACCTATTTATTCTGAAGAAGAATGTTGATCATAATTGTCGGTATTGGTCTTTCAAAAACTCATACGTATAAGATCCTGAAAAACAAAATGCGAGAGCTGAAATTTATGGCGATTATGTTATTGGCCTCTTTTTTATGAGGATATATTTGAAAGTAATATAATGATAATGGTTACAAGTCTATATCAATAAATATTGTGACCAAAAAGGGGTATCTTCGAAATATTACAGCTGAAAGGCTTCAGAATGTTCAAAACTGCTTCAAATGAAACCTCTTTATGGTATAGAAACAGAAAAACAAAATTTTTAACACTCGTTGAAAAAAAAGTTAGTAAGCAAAATTGTTCATCGCCCCATTTATGATTTCAAAAATTCATACAGTCAGTTCAATTTGATTATTATGACTCGTTACCATTGGAATAGGCTCATCAGGAAAATCATACTAACCTCTAGCTGTGTGACTTTGCCTCAACAGGATATCGGTGAGTTTTACAGGTCTGGGAATCTAAATTTTCACCGAACCACTTCAAATTGGGAATTTTTTAAATATTGATGAAACAAACATAAGGGTCACTCTGTATCAAGTTCCAGTCTTTGTGTTGATGGTGAATGTCCCATCAAACCCCCCTGATAAAATGCAAATCTGCTGAAGATTTATTTCTTTCGAGGGTGTATATTCACACTCCAATGGATGTAACCAATTAAGAGAGTTCACATATAGTTGCCAGTCTTTGCTCTACAATAATAGTAGAATGAGAAAATAAGGAAGAGTTGTTGTTTGATTTTGCTTCTTTTTTGGTAGTAATAACATCCATGGTAAATCCTTCAGACTACAGTAAGTGGGAGGAAATATCCCAGTGATATTCTGCTGAAGCAAGTTCGAGCTTTCAGTTTTACTTCGCTTACCACTACTTGTGTAGGTAGATAGGCAGGTCTAAAATGAGTCTGCAACCCGTTAGGGGTTTATTGTGGCTCAGGTCAGCTAGCAATAGTAGGACTCTGCCGAAGGATGAAAACCTGATGCAGTTCGCGGTGTAAGGAACACTCACTGTCGATCAATCCCAAGAAGGCTGAGATGGTCCTTTTCACCAGGAAAAGAAGTTTATCGGGCTTAAAACCTCCCGAAATCTTCAAAAGCAAACTAAACTTCTCTGAAGAGATGAAATACCTTGGTACTATCCTTGACAGGAAGCTAACATGGAACTCTCACCTACAGAGTAGAGCAAAAAGAGTATATGTGGCTTATAAGCAATGTCGGAGGATAGTGGGACGTGCATGGTGTCTTTCAACCCGTGTGGTCACCTGGATCTAAACTGCAATAATGAAACCTATATTAACGTACAGAGTCATTGCATGGGGACCGAAAGTTCTACAAGCAACGGCCATGCAAACATTATATCAAATACACCGATTGGCTTGTTGAAACACCACAGGAGCCATGAGGACAACACCATCCGCGGCAATGGAATTAATTACTGGTCTGACCTCTCTGGACCTGTACGTTGAGGAGGTTGCGTTAATGGCCATGTTACGATTGCGCACGGCTGATGCGGCCTCATAGTTGAGGCTGAGTCTATGGCGAGAAGCGCTTTCTGCGCAACCTCTGCTGCAGGTAACAAGTGATGCAATTCAACCCAGGTTTGTAAAACAAAAACAGTAAAACAAAACTCAGAGTCAGATGCTACAAATGTAGTACGCATATATACAGACGGCTTAAAAACCAAAGAAGACTCAGGATGTGGGGTGTATTCCAGATCACTAAGCTTAAGGATTGAGTAGGGAATGGGAAAAAACGCAAGCGTGGTTCAAACAGAACTGGCAGGTACCTCAATCACCACAATGGTAATAACCAGGAAAGGAATTTCTGGTAGAAACATAACAGATAAGCAGATGAGCCCTATTAGCCTTGAACAGACAATGTGTTACCTCGTGGCTAGTACTGGAGTGCCACCAAGATTTAACCAAAGCCTCAGTAGATAATAACATTGTCTTGATGTGGATTAAACGTCACATCCATGCTCAATCCCTGAAGAGATGGGATGGGATGAAATAAAAGGATTCAATCTTGCCAGGATCACCCTGGGCGACCCTGGGAAGCTGGTGCCGAAGAAATATCTGGCGATGACCAGGAAAAATCTATGCTTGATAGTAGGATAGTAGGATTTCAGACTGGCCACTGTCAACTAAGGAAACACCTCCACAATATAGGGCTAGTGGACACACTTCTATGCAGGATATGTGAACAGGAAGATGAAATTCTCAGGCATGTCCTAGGCGAATGTCCGGAGTTATTGTCAATAAGATAGTCTTGGCCTACACCTGCCGATATAAAGGAGATGTCCACCTTCCTGGAAAGGGCAGGATGGACGATAACCTAGGACAACTCCTCGGGAGGATGTACAATGTGGCCTGAGTGCTGTGGACCTACACTCACCCTCCTCACTCTACAGATACCACTACTTGTGTAGGTAGGTAGGCAGGTCTAAAATGAGTCTGTAATCAGTTAGGGATTTATTGTGGCTCAGGTCAGATGGCAATAGTGGGACTCTGCCAAATGATGAAAACCTGTTGCAGTTCTGCTAAAGGAGCCTGATTTTGTTAGTGTAGAATAATCCTCTCCAAGGATTCAGATAATGGTACATTTTCCTCAATTCAGTGGGAGCCTGCTAGGTTTGTTCAAGTTTTGAGTGTAACAGGAAAGACAGTTGGAGTTGTTTGATCAATTTCCATATCTCCTGTAGGCTCAGGTTATTTGCAGGACCTGCTCAAGAGGAAATTGTTTTCGCTACTGCTCGTGTGGATTCCTGAATGAAATGCGAAAGTGACTCACAAACAGATAAGCAGATGAGCCCTATTAGCCTTGAACAGACAATGCGTTACCTCGTGGCTAGTATTGGAGTGCCACCAAGATTTAACCAAAGCCTCAGTAGATAATAACATTGTCTCGATGTGGATTAAATGTCACATCCATGCTCAATCCCTGAAGAGATGGGATGGGATGAAATCAAAGGATGCAATCATGCCAGGATCACCCTGGGCGACCCTGGGAAGCTGGCGCCGAAGAAATATCTGGCGATGACCAGGAAAAATCTATGCTTAATAGTAGGATTTCTGACTGGCCACTGTCAACTAAGGAAACACCTCCACAATATAGGGCTAGTGGACACACCTCTATGCAGGATGTGTGAACAGGAAGATGGAACTCTCAGGCATGTCCTATGCGAATGTCCAGAGTTATCGTCAATGAGAGACTGTGTATTCGGCGAGTCTTGGCCTACACCTGCCGATATAAAGGAGATGTCTCCCAGTGACCTGTCCACCTTCCTGGAAAGGACAGGATGGACCTAGGACAGGATGGACCTAGGAGGACAACACCTCGGGAGGATGTACAATAGGTTACATGTGGCCTAAGTGCTGTGGACCTACACTCACCCTCCTTACTCTACAGATTCAGATACCACTACTTGTGTAGGTAGATAGACAGGTCTAAAATGAGTCTGCAACCTGTTAGGGGTTTATTGTGGCTCAGGTCAGATGGCAATAGTGGAACTCTGCCAAATGATGACAACCTGTTGCAGTTCGCGGCGGGGCAGGTACAGAATAGTTCTGCTGAAGGAACCTGACTTTGTTAGTGTAGAATAATCCTCTCCAAGGATTCAGATCATGGTAAATTTTTCTCAATTCAGTGGGAGCCTGCTAGGTTTGTTCAAGTTTTATGTGTTACAGGAAAGACAGTTGAAGTTGTTTGATCAACTTCCATCTCTCCTGTAAACTTAGCTCAAGGGCTGGATAACTGAGAAGCTCTTTCTTTTGATACTTTGTTACAGGGAAGACAGTGGGGGTCGTTTAGTCAATGTTCATTACCGCTGTAGGCTCAGGTTAATTGAAGGACCTGCTCAAGAGGAAATTGTTTTCGCTACTGCTCGTGTGGATTCCTGAATGAAATGCGAAAGTGACTCACTTGACACTCACTCATTCATCTCTGTTTCTCCGTACTGGTAAGTCCTAGGAAGCTAAAGTTTGGTATATAGGTGCTTCTTAGATCCTAAATGCGCACTTAGAAAGGATTCGTCCGTTTTATATTGTAGGCTTGCATTGAGAAAGGATTTTTGAATGTTCCAACTGGGGCGTCAGTCACGTCACCTTTCCCAAAGTTTCCTTCACAGCAGAATTCACTCCAAACAGCAGTGCACCTGGAACTCGACTGACTTCAAACGTGGCTTGATTGTATATATTAAACTGCGTCTAAGAGAATGTTCCAAGTCAGTTGCAATCTAGGCATACTTCTGTTCAGGTGGATCTTTTTTGCACTGATTAAAGGTAATATTTCAAAACCGGACTGTTCGTAATCTACTCGTTTGATTTCAGTATAGTCCTACTGCTGGATGAACTAAGACTATCCTCTGTGTGGTGATATTAGTTGTGTAGGAACGTTGAGAGAGCAGAATGTTTCAAAATTTTATTACGAAATATTCATTTTTTTAATTTGTATGTCTCCTCGAACAGTCATCAGACTCATTTTGATAACTTTATTTTGTTGACTCGTGATTAACATATAACATTTCATTTGTATAACATTGAGAAATGACAAATCGGTGAACTATCAACTGAGAGATCGTCATTTTAGATTGGAGGGTCAAATTTTGCCTCTCCGAATAATGGAAGTGAAGAGGTTGAAAACATGTGCAATGAATTGGTTTCGATTCTTTTTGTTTGGAACACCCTGTATAGTAGATTGGTAGAAACTTTTCATTTCTGTTCCTTTTTAAAAAAGGGCAGAGTACACTCAGCAGGTGGGGGACGATCTCTAAGTATCGTTTTGAGAAAAAGACTGTCTGGTCCCCTTTCATCATTTGAAAAAATAATTTTTTGTAAGAAAAGTTATTTGAGTGCTTGACTTCCGAGGGAAAACACAGCTTTTCAAGGTTGTACGATGTTTATTAAAATGTTAGTGATACAATTTTTATTCAGGAGGAACACGTATTTACAATAATGTTCTGATCTATAATAAAACAACTCAAAACTTTTTATCAATTAATCTAATAACAAAAATATAGAAGAATTGAAGTTATTGGCACCTATCATTGCAAGTTATTTAGAAAAGACGTCGTTTTTTTTTCTATTTAGTCAAAAGAAAACAATATTTGACTTAGTATAGTAAGAACATAATACTCACGAACACTATTAAAAAATCCAGCAGCGTCCAAAAACTGGTAAAGTATTCGTAGAATCCCAAGGCAATCCATTTTAGGAACATTTCGATTATGAATATTATCGAGAAGGCTAGATTCGTCCAGTAGAGTACACTTTTCAAATCTGGATTTTCGTCCAGGTGAATGTCTTCGAAACACAAGGTGACACTCGATGCGAATATCAACACCAGTATAAACCATTCGAATCCTGATGTGTCAACAACGCTCAAAATTAATTTTCTCAGGTTTATCCATTTTTGGCCTATTTTCGTTTCCGTACATCTATTCAAACAGGTACACCTGAAATAGAAAGACAATTCAGTGAAACCATGGACTGAACGAATCAAACATTGTAAGGTTAGAAATTCTGATTTTTCTGAGAGTCAGGCGCTTGCCAATGAAAGCGCCAGACGTTCGCTTTTTTCAGGTCGAGCGGTCTGAAGTCGGAAACTGAGGAGTTCCTCATGGCATGCCAGAATGGTGTGTTCAACACCTTAGTCTACCGCAGTCGTATGATGGGTATACAGATTCCTGACAAAGGTGCAGGGCCTGCCACGATACCCTAATACACTTGCTATAAGCATGTCCAGTATATGCGGTCTCGGCCTATATCCATCGACATAACGCGGCCCTAAGAGTGTTTCATTACCATCTGCGGCACTCTTACGGAATTGACGAGACACGAGACACACAAGCTACTAAGCCTGATGTAGTCCTTCTCGACCACCGGAGCAAGACGATAATTGTCGTGGAGTTTTCAGCTCCTGATGAGAGTTCGGAGAGAATCTGGACTCCATGATCACTCACCCCACGGTGTGGATAGTGGTCGTTGGTTGATAATGCTGGTGCGCCCTCCTGAATATATCTGGGCTTAGGGAGATAGGACTTGATCATCGCAAACTTCACATTTTCATTTCATTTCATTTCACATTTTTTCCAATCGTTTTTCAAAATATTTCGCCTACTACATTCATTTCTGAACTTGATATCGCTAGTACTCTATTCTTGAGAAACGCAATTATGAGTATAATACGTAGGTCACAGAGGTCTGAATTTTAATGAGCCGCAAATTCATGATTACTAACAATTTAATCGTTTTCAAATCCTACCTTTCATAAAAATTTGAAGGGAAACAATCGGGTGCTGCCCTGGGGGGCTTCTTCTTTCCAAACCCCGGAAAAGTCCCCATTCCGTCAATGTATTGTCCTTTGGAGTTCCTCCTTCCTCCCACGGTTAGTTCGTCTACGTACGAAACCAACGTCTGCCAAGGCATATCACCACCCCTTGCTTCGTTATTTTTATCACAGATTTTCTTTCTTCCGTCGTTAGCATCTTCGTTTTCGGACTCGGTTGAAGTGCGGTTATTGCTTTTTGCGATCAGATTTGTAGTTTCATCTGGAAAAATCGAATCACGAAAATGAATCACGCAATGATATCCATCATAGATTCCCTAGATTCTCTAAAAGTTTTCTAATCTCAGGTGCATGAAAAACGGCCACTATGAAATGTCAACAAATTTGATCTTGAATAATTTTTAAATTATGATATTGAAAAAAATGGTATTTTATTCAAAATGTGGAACTATATTCCTCTTAAATTTTTGTAAAATATTTATTTCAATCTTATATGTTTTGGTCGTTACGACCAATCAGCCTAACATCCTTCCTGTTGAAAGGACTTGAGTGAATACTAAACGAACAGATAAGGAAGGTACCATTATATGCATCCCCCTGAATAACCACCAGTATGCTTATCAAACTGGCAAATCGACAGATTTAGCATTAAACAACCTTGTAGAGAAAATCTCCCAATCCCTTGACAACAAGGAGATTGTTGTTGCTGTATTTCTTGATAGCATTTGACAATGCACTACCTAAATCTATAGGATTCTCTCTGGCTAGGAAAGGTATAGAATCGACCTTAACTGGCTGGATTTATACCACGCTTGTAAACAGAACTGCAAATACGACACTTCAGGAGGGGCCATTAAGTTCAGGGTCATCAGAGGCTGCCCTCAAGGTGGGGTACTATCTCCAGTTCTGTGGATGCGCCTGATGGATAGTCTGCTTGATGCCCTCGACAGAAGAAAAGTTGATCTGCAAGCTTATGCAGATGACCTTGTCATCCTGGCAAGGTCCACGTCGGGAAAGGTAGCTTGTAATATCCTCCAAAGCACGTTGGACGATGTTCACAGTTGGTGCCTGAGGGATCAGATGTCTGTCAACCCCAGCAAAACTGTGTTAATTCTTTTCACCAGGAGAAAAAAATTTGATGACGATCAAACGCCACTTTCCCTCAATGGTGAGGTCATTCCATTTGAAACGGAGGTGAAATATCTTGGCATTTTCCTTGATAAAAGACTCACCTGGAACGCTAACTTGGAAAAAGTTTTACACAAAGCCAGACTGTCTCTATGGACATGTCGAAGGATTTGTGGTAAAACTTGGGGTTTAGGTCCCGAACAAATCTATTGGATTTATGTGATGATTGTCAGATCAATGATTACTTATGGTGCAATTGCCTGATGGCCGAAGGCTTTACAGAAAACGGCCCAAGCGAAGCTCTCTGGCTTACAGAGACAGGCTTGTCTGGCTATCAGTGGTGCCATCAGTGCCACATCGTCAGCGGCCTTGTAGATCCTTCTAGATCTACCCCCTTCCACATTCTTCTGGAGAGAGAGGCTAGATAAACTGCATACAGATTTGTGCACATTGCCATTGCACAAATCAATTTAATGCAGAGTGCAACAGACTGTTGGTTGACACTGGAAGTCATAGCATTCTGGAAATGACCTTAACAGATTGTCTCTGGTCTGGATTCCTGGCCATGCTGGCCTGAAAAGCAATGAAGCTGCTTACTCCCTTGCAAAGGAGGATGCTGCAAGCAGATTTCTTGGATTAGAACCTGTCATTGGCCTCGCTTTAGGCTTCGTCAAACAAACATTCAACACCTGGATGGCATGAATATTTATGGACTTCTGGCAGAATCTTCCAAGATTGGCTCACTCCAAAGTGAACTACGATGTCTAACAGGCTCTTACGGATCACTGTCATTTGAATCAACATATGCAGAGACTTGGACTGTCGGAAGACAGTGTCTGTCGCCTCTGTTTGGAAAATGATGAAACAGCAGAGCATATATTTTGTGCTTGCTCCGCTGGGGACTGAATCGAGTTTTTAGAGTTCAGCAGAGCCGGGTTCTCACCATCTGATTTGAAAGACCACTCACCATACAAACTAGTCAGCTTCGTTCAGAAGCTGGGTTTATTTGGTCGACTGTAAATAGGTGTAAGCCATAATAAACCCTTCTGGGTAGCGGTGGAGGGTCGAATAGACCCACTGACTTTAGACCTAACCTAATCTAACCTAATTTATTATCTAATTTCTATTTGGTGCTCAGCCAATGAATCAACAATAAAACCTTTGAAATCTTTACAAAATAAAACTATTGAATGCATATATAAATTATCGTACTCAGAACCGACGGTGAATTTATATAAACAGAAAATTACTAGATTTGAACACACTATACAAACAAAAAATTTGTCGTTCATTCATTCAATAACAAATGAATAAAACATTTCAAATATAAATTTCATAGAAATCAATAATGTTCATAGTTATAATACTAGACAAACAAAATTATTATCAGTTAGTAATTTCAAATCTAATTTTGGACAGAAATCAATTTATCATGATGGAATTATAATATAAAATACAATTCCTGAAGAAATAAAAAAATCTAAAACTGCTCTCAAATCAAAAAATCTATTGGAGAAGTAATTAATGAATTGAAGAAAAAAAGACAGGAATGTATGATTTTCATATAGCTAGACTCATCTAATAGACTCATATTGATTATTCATCTTGTGCATTTTTTATTCAATTATTTATAATTTCATTATTAAATTCACTGTTAATATCAATTACTTGTGTTCTCTTATTCCATATTTCATTATTTTATTATATTTGTATCTTGAGTTGATTCAGTCAATCACTATTCATAAACATTCATTGTTTCTTGGGATAATAAAGATAATACAATACGCAGATATTTCGAAAATGAGTAAAATAAATGATAACATTAATCCCAGATTATTTCACATCAAACAGATTTCCTAATAAGGCCCGAACTAACGGTGTTAGTTGCATATGACGAATACGTAGAGAAAATGCATTGATTTATTCAATAATTCATAAATCTGAAGCGAATGTTGCTATCAAAATGAATGAAAGAACAGTGCATAAGGAATGAATCAAGCTTGCATACGTGATGGCTTTGTGTGTTATCCAAAAGCTGTATACAGGGTGTTTTAAACAAAGTTGTTAGAAATCTAACTTTGTTTTCCCTCGTATAATGCATGTAAATTGGGCCTCATCAGGAATCTATTTGACGTGAATCGGGATAAAAATTTAAAAGTCATTCAAAATGACGACTTTTAAACTTTTTAAAATGGACGTTTTTTGCATCTGAGTGTAGCAGCTCAAACAAAACGTTGAAAGATGTAACAGTTTCAGAAAAATCAATATGAAATGTTCAACTCTTTAGAATAAAATCAATTACAGAGAAATACAATAAATATACTCACCTTTGCTGCTATTCGTCGTTCCTAATTCAGAAGACATGTTGCAAAGACGTTTTGTGTCATTCTTCTTCTTCTCAGTCGTTGGTGTTCCACTTTCTTCAGATGTGGTCAATAAACTAGAGTAGAGTTTGGAGCTCCTGTTACTTTTTTCACTTTCAGGTGGTTTTTCCTATGAGAAAATATGTATTTTCAACATATTGTCGCAAACATAGTGAAAAATTATTTTGTCTGTGTGAAATATTGAGCAGTGAACGATATCTTCACCTCAACGACAAAGAACTTTATCTATTTCAATTCAATAATTGCTCTGTTGATATATTTTTCCTTTAGGAAAATTAAAATAATCTAGGAAAATATTTTTATTTCATTACAATAATGTACGTGAAATATTTAAAAAAAATATTAGTACCGTTGCCCGTTGGGTCTCTAGTCGTTATTGGAAGAAACTGTGGACTAGAGCCTGAAAAAGGCTTTATAGTCGGTTCGATGAAAGAATACACATGCGTCATGAATTTGTGCATCCGATATAAGTCAAAAAACTAATGGAAATTGAACGACGTGATCACTTCTCCGGACAACCAAACCTCTTCAAGAAAAATTGCTTTAATATTTGGAATTCACTAATAGTAAAAAGTCCATATGATTTAGGGTGAATTTTATAAAGTTCGTCAGACGTTATCAATTATTCTGTGAAAACATATCTTATGTTGTCGACGACTCACGTTTGTATTTCTCTTCAATGTCATTAATGGTGTTTGAAGGTGGTTTACAATGTTTCATGTTGCATTTCATTTGTTCGGACTTCCATGATATGATATAAAATGATTTAAATCCCTGGAGGACTCAATAATATCAATAAGATTAGCTAAAAAACTACAGTGGAACCAACAGTTCCCTTATTGATCAGATCGAGGCAGAAGAATTTAGATGGAGAAATCAGAGAACAGCTAGATCAAGAACCAGTTCCAACATCTAACATCAGCAATGAAGAACGAAGAGCTCTGAGCGGTCTACGTAGAGATAACACCATCAATATCCTATATGCAGATGAGGGAAATGATACTATTGTGATGGATACTGATATCTACGAACAGAAGATCGAAGAGGTTGTTCAGAAAGGACAAGCCAACATTCTGGCCATTAAAAAAGCCCACAAGAAGATCACAAGAGATACGTTGACGACACCCCCATAATATGGAACCATACAGAACTAGATACCTTCCTGAAGCACATCAACAACGTTAGACCTAAATGGGAAACATCTGTATACCGAAAACCCACTCACACGGGACAGTTTCTGAAACAGTAATTCAGCCAACATCAATCGAGTGAGAGAGGAATCATCAAGAGTCTAGTAGACCGTGCTTCCTGGGTCTGTAATATAAAGGAAGGTGTCGAGAAGGAATGAGGCATCATTAAAAATGACCTTCAACGAAATGGTTACTCTAAAGTAATGGTGTATAACATCAGAACCTATTTCAGATCGGGAAACACTATCCGCAGCAGCCTCAGGAAAACCAGGCAACCAAACACAGACTGAAATTCTAAGAGTTGCATTTACCGAATACCCTGCGAGTGTGGAGAATCCTACATCGGTGAAACTAAGAGGCCATCGAAAGTTCGCATTATCGAGCACAAGTAACACACACAGCGAGGAGAAACCAGCAAATCAGGAATATCAAAACATGTTTGGACTCATTAACATAACATCAAGTGGTTTCAAGCTGAAATCATCCACAGGAAAGAACACTGGTTCAGGAGAAAAATTAAAGAAGCCGTATATATGTTGTCCAACAACGCATATAGTCAAGCTAGCGTAGAGATACGCAACATACGGAAACCTACAATCAAGCGGAAAACGGCCAACTGCCGTCAAACGGTCAGCTCCCGCTAAAACCAATGAAGCGGTGAGAGGGAATAGGGAAAAGGTGAAAGCACTTGAATGACCTATTAATGGTCATCTTTCGAAGGAATAAGTCCAGTTATCACCCGAAGACGATTGTGGATACTAACAATCGAAACGTCGTGAAGTAACTTGGCTAGAAATCTTTCAATTTTAATTTTCATTTCATGTCAATTGTTCAATTTCCAATTGTTGCTTGTATTTTACTTCATTGTGAATTCAGTTTTTTTGCTTAATATAATTGTTATTTTTTAGCTGATCTTTTTATAGTTTTATAGTTCAATATTTGTCTTCTAGTGGAAATTTTCAAATTTTTCTGATGTCAGTTATCAAAATTCAAATTGATGAACAGTAATGAAAATGTAAGTGTATTATATTTTCATGCGCAGTTTTTTTGTCCAGTAAAACGTTTTCTATTGATCCCTCCAGATAAATTGATTCGCAATCTTAATTTTTTAATATTGTATGGATGTTCAATAATCATACCTATTTCTTCAATTTCCTATACATTTTCTACATATTGACCGTTGATATGAATGAATTTTTTGTTAATATATTCAGAATCTATTGATTTGTATGGCTGACTGTTATTTTTCAGTCTTGCATGCAGTTTGTCCAAAACTATTAGGAACACATTATTTGTGACGCAATTTTAACTGCGAATTTATTCTGAAAAACGTTCAAGCAAGTCACAATTAAGAAGGGGTAAACAAAAAGTCAAGTACGAGTATAACCTGCAGCGGTTTCTACCTGATATTCAGGAGGTTCGTAACTAATTATGGAAATCGGCCTATTCATGGCTTCCTGGTAACTGCGTTTGTCTCTTGGGAATCCAATCTGTTGCACTGATCTCGCTGATTTCTCTGCTGAAAAAAACACACAAATTCAATAAAATTTGTACTATACATTATAACCTGATATTACTTGCTTCAATCTGGAAAAAGATTCATATTATAATTCGGTCATATGATATGTTTTTCCAATAATCTGGAAAGTTGGAAAATTTCAAAGAAGTGTTGAATATGATATGAATGGGTTTGGCCAGGGTAAAAATGCATTTATCACTTAAGAATAGCGGGATTCCATCGGGACCTGCAGACAACTTCCAGGGTAATGACATGATCAGTTCAATAATTTCTTTAACATCAATTGTTTCATCACTATAGGCAGATGTTATAGTTTATATAAAACTAAGTTACCAATATAAGGCGACAATAGTACCGGTCCAAGAAATGTGCCCTGCGGTATACCACATTCAATTTGAAGTGCATCATCGTGCTAATAAAATTCATCTTGCGATTTTTAAAATCGTCTAATGAATCATTTCGCTACTCACCATTTCTGAATGCCTCCTCTTCAGCATGTCTCTGCATGACCTCCCGGACTATTTGCTCCAGACGAGAGTTGTTTTCGTTCTGATCCTGTTCAGCCATTCGGCGCTTGCGTACCAGATCACGTATCCTTTGAAAACTCTGTGCTAATTTGGATTCATCGCCAACTTCCTGAATAATGCAGAAGATGTTAATAATGAGGCTATTCAAAAATAGTTGTTGGATGCGACAGGAGTGCATTTTATACTAATCGAAAAAGATGAAGATAGATCGTTTGGGGATTATAGACCACCAGGAACGCCCTGTCTGATATATTGTTGCATATCTATGGGCTATGATTAATAATGAGATCAACGGGAAGTATGATGAATTATTAGCAGATATATACAGTGACGGGTTATGTGTATTAGATGTAAGGAAACGCTGGGAAAACTGCAGTAGTCGTCTCTTCAACAGTATTCTGATTTTACAGAAACGTACTGGTTGATATATGTCCAAAGTTAATTATTGTATTCAAAAAACATCATTTAGGCGGCTGTATAACTATTGTATCAACTATCATACATTTTATTTTCGTTAGCTACATATGGTAAATATGCCATGGAAGTGTTCTAATAACCCCAACAGCTTCGAATTTTCACTCCATTAATTGAACGGTGCTATTTAGATTATCTTGGATTTTCTGTGCAGCATCAAGGTGAATCTTGGGTCCCACATAAATGTTGTGTAACATGTGTGAGACTCCTACTAGGTTGGGTTGAACAAGAACCTAGACATTTGCCATTTAGTATACCAATAATTAGGATGGGATCAAAGGACCATGTATGTAATTGCTATTGTTGTTTGACTCAAAAAAAGACATTACAACGAAGTCCAAATATACTATTCAGTGTCTCCAAACTTGTCTTTGGCCAACAGACCCATTCTACATAGTGCCAAACTGCAGGTGCCGAAGCCTCCAAATCGACCAGAAAGTCGAGATTACTGTCTGAAACTTGTCCTAGGTTAGCATGAGGAACATGAAGATTGTGACCGAAGTTATGGATCGCAAACTTAAAAAAAAACCGTACTTATTGATACGAAGTGATTTAAACGATCTAGTTCGTGATTTGTATCTGTCTAAAAAAAGACTGACCTTTTGGAGTCTAGATTAAACGATTGAAAATTACTTTCTTCTGATACGAAAGTTTGTTATTTTCGACATCGTGACGATTAAAGCAGATGTTTTAGTCTATTGTAATAAAATTTCTGTTGTGATGAATTTATTGAATTTTGATAATAATCTAAGTCACTGGCGATTGCTCAATGAATCCTCAAAAACTAGTTTGAAAGCAGTGTTGCTGTATAACAGAAACGAAATCTCTTCAGTGCCGGTTGCTCGTGGTTCTGATATGAAAGAGACTAATGAAAATATGGGATACTTCTTGGAAAAATCAAATACAGTTGAAATGCTTCTAAATTTGTGGCGATTTTAAATTATTTAGTTTTTGTTTGGACTTCAGCTTGGTTACGCAACATTTTGCTGTTTCATTTGCGAGACAGAAAAAGTCACTATACTAACAGTTTGATCATTCTTTTGAATATTATCACTTGGTGATCGAAACACGTGTTGAGTTGTTGAAATAACGATTTGGTGTTGGGAAAAAACTCCAGTGATAGTCATTACTACACCAAAGGTTGCAAACAGTGCATCACAAGTAAAGTTATTACAAAACGCTTTGACATAGTTTCCAACATTCCATTGGGAATGTTGTTAGAACATGGCAAACATGTTTGGATATTAGGGATACACTAAAAACAGACTTTTGTCTATTTTCCACTATATTTCTTTATTGTTGACCGGTTTCGGCTATTATACCATTTTCAAAACTAACTGATTACATTTAAATCTGAGTAATTTATACCTATGTTGCTTATTCTATCATGAATGATTTGATATACCTGATACCCGGTACCTGCGTTTCATATACCTGTAGAATCCATGAACATAACAAAGCTTTCAATATAATGTAGGTTTTGGGATCTGGATTATAGGTTCAGGAGAGGACTATTATTTAAATCAAGTTGTTCGTTGAGGACAATAGAATTGTGATTTTTCTTTGACCTGTTTATTTCCATAGATTCCAACAGATTCATCATTTTCCCTTTTTCGCATGTGTGTAGGATCTTTACATTATCTTCATCTATTTTATGTTTCGAATTTTGAAGATGTTCGTACATTAATGATTTTTTATCCGAAATGACATGTTCGTGGTACCTTGTATCAAAATTTCTCCCAGTTTGGCCTGTATTTGGCCAGATATGAGTTGAAAATTCGCAATTTTTGTGCAAAACAATCAATTTTTTTCACGAGATATTGCGACTATTCGCAAATAACGAGCAGAATAAATGGTTGAAATTGACGTCCTGGAAACATACGGTAAATTAAAATAATGCCTCTAGGGCATTATGGAAAAACACTATAACTGATGGACTGAATTCTTACAGTACGACCGACTGGTCGGTAGCCGGGCGGTTCAACGTGGATGCTTTGTTCACTCAGTCAATCGGCCGATGTGTGAGTCGATGGTCTGAAGCCCCAGACTGAACGCACAATTTTCACTTGCTATCGTCCAACTCGTGTTAGGAATCACACGTTGAAAGGTAAGACCTCGTTAGTTCTTAGCTCGCACAAGTTTCGATTTTTGAGTGTTATCGTTCGTAGGGGTGCGATAGCTGGTTAACAGAAAAACACATTATAAACATTTTTTTAATGGTAGTTATCGGGTCCATAAGCCCCATATAAATTATAGAATCTAGATTTACTATGAATATCTAATGAGCACCTAATTAGCACTTTATTCTCATACCCTTACTTATCGAGGAACGTACTGTAAGAACTCAGTCCATCAGTCATAGTGGTTTTCCATAATGCCTATGGGGCATTATGGAAAACCACTAGAATTACTATTAGATTTACTATTATTTATCTAGTGAGCACCTAATTAGCACTTCAATTTCTTGCCCTCATTCATTAAATAACGTACTATAAAAACTCAGTATATCAGTCATGGTGGTTTTCAGGTCCAAGACATTGTTGCATATTGTTGAATTTTTTTTTCTCAAATCAGGTATATCGAATTTTTTTTTCGCTTATTCGCAGTCGTTTCCATCTTAATTTCTTGCAAGCACCTAATTAGCACTTTATTATCACGCTTAGTTTATACTTGATAGAGCATTCGTCCTCGTTTTCGAGAGACCTGATTCTTAGATCTGTTGTTTAGCGAAATTGGAAGCTTTTGTTTATTAATTACAAAAATTTAAGATCCTCACCGTTTAGCACTTAATTAGCACCTTAACATTCATTATTTTATTATTATTTTCATTGCGTTACTAGCATCACATAATGAAGGAAACCGTAGCAACGCAACTTTGTTAAGTTACAGTTACAGTACGGTTTGTTAAGTTACAGAGCACCTAATTTTTGAAATTCGGTACCTAAAAAGCAACTAAAAAGTACCTAATTTTGGAATTTTCTAAATGTGATTTCCGTACTTTGCGTTACTGGCGTAACAGAGCTAAATTTCAGCTCTACAGATGCGATTTTGACAAAATTAAAAATATTTGAGATTTCTGCCATTTTTACTTTTTTTAAATCTGTGGAAGATAAAACATCTAAAATATCTTTAATTTTCAAATACCAAAATCCCATTACCAACAATTGAAAGGTAATTTTGCGCCTTCGTTTATTCACACTGTTGTCCTCAGAATATGAATTGATAATAGCAGATAAATAATGAAATGTCGAAGAGAAATAAAAAGATTACAATTACATGTGTTATATTGTAAGAAACAACAAATTATTAGGATATGCAAAACGTACTCACCTGTTTGAAACCGCAGCTAAGCGCAAAAACACCATCGATTTTTGCTCGAAAACATTCATTTAGTAGAAAAAACAGAACATGCGAAACAAACTTAACCGAGTTATTGAGTGACATCGTTTTATCATCTTCCTTTCGCCTGGAATTGAAAAGTACGTTCATCTTGCGAGTCGATTTTTAACCAACTACTTCAAAAATTAAAAGTTCACCGTGATAGTACGAAATCACTCTAGTTGAGAAAAATGCTGTCATTGTAACAATTATCATGCAGAAATAAAAATCGACATACTTGAAGTTCAAAAAAAGTATCATATACCTCCTTCCTTGTCTTGAGTTCCTCTGAATTGAAGCTATTGAGTAACAGAGCCAAGAACAAGTTGAGAACCATGAAGTTACCCATCACTAGGGTTGGAAGAAACACCGCTAAACATGTTCCGGGAGTGATACAGATAGCGAGGCGATGTACATAGGGTGGTTTTATGCCCAATACTGAGGAATACTGCAACAAATGACTTATTGCTTCTCCTGGACCTTAGTACTGCATAGTCCTAAATTAAATGTCCTAGTTTAGAGCAAATACATTCAATTCTGGTTTTCATTCATATGTCTGGATATTGTGAACCTAATCTTTCATGTCTGTGTTAGAGTCCTTAGAACTTTTTTTATATTATTAGAGTAAGAGGGTGCATGCAGATTGACTTTCAATTAACATTCAGGCAGAATAGAAACAAAGAGTAAGGTAGCATTGTCATTGGCTGATGCACTTTAAAAAACTTCAGCAGGTAGGTAGGTCCAAAGTAAATGGGACTATTAGATCCTCCACTGCAACACGTGAAGAGTTAGTGGTCAGCTGGCAAGATTGGTACTCTGACAAAAACTATAACCTGATCCGGTCCGCAACAGTACAGGCACAGAGTATGCGCTCTGCTGACAGGGTCTGAATTCCCTTGTGGAGTTTGACAGACCGGTCAGTCCGCGATTGCCTTTATCAGGTAGGTGGTAGATGTCCTGTGGTATATTTCAAGGAGGAACCTCTCAAGGCTGCAGAGTACCGACTGCACCAACCAGCGAGGAGTCGCTTTCCTGGTCCTTTGAAGTAACCTCTAGTAACCATCCAGAACGGATTGTCCAGCTCTGGATTGAAGACCTTGTTTTGATATATCCTCTACGGCAGCCATAATGGCATATACTAGAAAATGTAGAGGAAAGAACCCGGAAACTTTTCATTCAGTTTCAATAATGATATTAGATAATGAAGTTTCGAATGAACGCATGCAAAAAAATCAGTTCTAGGTATTTTAGTGGTACGGAATTTCTCATTATCAATCAAATTCTAACTATGGGAGTGTGATTTATTGTAGGTACGCTATTTCCATTATAAATTGTAGTGGTATCTGTTTTAAAAAATCTGTTTTTCCATTAACCAGCTGTCGCACCCTTACGAACGACAACCCTCATAAGTCAAAACTTGTGCCAGCTGAGGACTAACGAGGTTTTCCTTTTTAACGTGTGATTCCTAACACGAGTTGGACGATAGCAAGTGAAAATCGATCGTTCAACCTGGGGCTTGAACTACCGACCAACACGGCGGTCGATTTGAGTGAGTGAACAAAGCACCCACGTCGAACCGACCGGCTATCGACCGACAATAGCAAAAATTGATGAATAATTCACCCAATACATATATTGCAACTAAAGAGTTATAGGGAACAGAACAGAATTGATCCTTGCGAAATCCTACATATTATGTTTTTTCAATTAGTCGGCGGAAGGACTTCGGTCGATAGCCAGTTGAGCAAAATTGTAATTTTGTTCAATTAATTACAATTATTATTATCATTATTCAATTAGTGATGCCGTCCATATAGACATATTGCTTTCTTTAAAATAAGTATCTTTTAAACTGATCATAAAATAAACCTTTAGAACCTACAGTGAACTTGTATAAACAGAGACCCTAAAATTTTGGCATAATATCAAAAAATTTGTTGTTCCATATATTGAATAGGAATTTCGATAAAAATAGTATTCACAATCATAATACCCTACAGAAAAAGAAACTTTGGACAGAAATAAATAATTATGACAAAACATACCAAATATATCTAATACCTGAAGAATTAAAAAAAAACAGCTGCCCTGGATATCAAAAATCAAATAAAAATAGTTTTTGATAAATTGACTTAAGGTGTGGATTATTTTCTTACGAATATTTTTGTTGAAATTGTGATATTCGTAGTAGTTAATTTCATTTTCAACTGTTCATATTGATCAGTTTGTCAGTGTTTTCTCATTAAAATCATGTTTTAGTTTTCAAACTCCATTTATGAAAGTTTCCTATTTGTTGAGATAATGAAACAAATGTATTTATACAATTGTTAGTGTCACTTTTATAATGTTTCTAACCCTCACCTCAGTTTTTTCAGCTCTCATACAATCCCAAAGAGGTTCGATCCATTCACCACACAATATTCGAAAAATCATCATGAATGAATGAAAAAAATCTGTGAAGTTCCACCTGAAAGAAGAAGAAGATGACTGAATAAATATGAAGATTATGTTTGGAACAAGTTTATTCTTGCTTATATGTCTCTTAAATCGTGTTCAATTTCGATAATTTTTCTGTGACGTAGAAAATCCCATCCAATTGATTCGACATTTATTTGATAATTTCGATATGAATCATCAAAAAATGAACGTGGAACGTATACAATGTAGAAATAATAATAATAATGATAATAATGATTAATCGAACGGATATATGAGCAGAGAGGGTCGAAGAGAGGAGTCGCTGCTCATCGATAGATATGTAACCCAGGACTCTATACAATATAAGCGCAACCTCTTCATGGCCTGGAACGATAACCGTAAGGCATTTGATACAATATCGCATGAGCTCATCTTGCATTTGCTCAGATGCCTTGAGGTACCCGACAAAATAGTGAGATGCATTGAACAACTGTTACCACTCTGGCGAACTCGCTTCACTATAACATCTGCTCAAGCCAGACTCCAAACAGGGTGGGTCACTTTCAGAAGGGGTGTATTTCAGGGCGATCTCCTCAGTCCTCTTCTCTTCTGCATCTCACTATTTCCATTATCCGTTGCGCTCAGAAGTACTCGAGGGTATAACTGTGGCACCCCCGGAAACCGGAGGCACAAGGTCACCCATTTGTTTTGAATTGATGATCTCAAGGTGCGAGCACGAGTGAATACGCACCTTTGAACTTTATGCCTCTGGAGAGAAGGATCTCCATCAGTCCTTGAGGGTGGTGGAAGAGTACACGCATGCTATCGGTATGAATTTCAGGATAGACAAATGTGCAATGGTCCATATCAAAAGAGGACGATGCGGGAACTACGGAGAGGATGTGCAGCTCGTTGATGGAAGCATCCTAAACCATCTTGACGCCGGAGAAACGTATACTTACCTCGGGGTGGAACAACGCCACTCACAAGAGTTAACAACAGTCAATAACTCTCTCCGCGGCAAGTATCAGCACAAACTTCGACAGATCTGGTCATCGGAACTGTCGGAGAAGAACAAAGTTGCTGCAACAAATATGCCGTTCCAATCTTACTCTACTCGTTTGTAGTAGTGAAGTGGACTCGAGAGGAGCTGTATCAACTCGACGTAAAGACCCGAAAAATGATGCATCTCTATAGGAGTTTGCATCCCAAATCGTCCGTTTCACGGTTGTACTTCCCCCGACAACAGGGAGGCCGTAGACTTTTGGGTTTGGAGTGCCTACATGCTAGAATGGTACTGGATATAGCCTGTAAAGTCGTCAGGAGTTCGGATTCCCTTCTCTGCATGGTCCGTGACCATGAGAGAGCAGGAATTGAAGCATTTTTCTTTAGGGCAACTGCCCGACTAGCTGATGAACTCGGTTTAGTTTTCGACACTGAACGATGTGACCGCAACTCTGTCACCGAGTTGGAACCCGTTCAGCAAAAAGCTCATATAAAAGCCGTAGAGATTACCTCACTTCTGCGGAAACACAAGGATGAGCCAATGCATGGGGTCTTCTTCAATAACATTGAAGACCTTGGCTTATCAAAGCGCCTGACTTTCGCTTTCCTCAGGTCGACTGGATTGAAGTCGTAAACTGAGGGATTCATTATGGTCTGCCGGGATGGTGTCTTCAATATATCAGTCCATCGCAGTAGACTGACACAAGGTGCAGGGTCTGCCGTGAGGCGTCTGAGATCCTAATGCACTTATGGTCAGCATTTCCAGTATTTGCGATATCAGCCTATATCCCTAAGAGTGCTTCATTATCACCTACGGCACTTTTAAGATATTGACAAGACACTGGTGCTGCTCAACGCTCCGGGGGATATTGAATCCGTTGTGGGGAACGAGAAGTGCAAATTTATTGGAAATATTCGTTCCTCACCCTCAGGCTCATACAAGCTAATAAGCTTAATGTAGCCTTCTCGACCCTCAAACGGATGAAATATCGAGATTTCCCCTTTGAACTCCACAGAATCTATCAAGATGGTTGTTCTGATCATTGTAGTCCTTGATGGAATGATGCCCTCTCTACCCTCGAATCTGAAAGTCGTGCCGGACCCAATGATCACTCAACCCATGGTATGGAGAGTGACCATTGATTGATAATGCTGGCACGACCTCCTGAATATATCGGGGGATAGGGCCTGACCAGCGCAAACTAAGGGTTAAAAAAATAATAAAAATGATAATGATTTCGGCAAGCCGGCATGATCCCAAGATCCGACAGATCTGAATATGTTTGCCGTTCCGATCTCACTCTACTCGTATGGAGTATTGGAATGAATCCGAGAAGTGCTGTATCAACTCCATGTAAAACCCAAAAATGCATTTCCATAGGAATTTGCATCCCAAATCGTCCGTTTCAAGGTTGTACTTTCCCTGACAACCGGGAGGCCGTGATTATTAGAGTCCTTGGTGGAATGATGACCTTTCTACTCTATAATCTAAAGATCATGCCGGCTTGCCGCACTGAGGCAGAAATTTTAGGTGGGCAAAAGCAGAAGGCTATCATTATTGGCTCATTGCGTTAGCAACAATAAAAATGATGATAATCGAAATAAAATTATTTTTCAACGTGTTTTTTAACCTAGAAGAGCATCTTACCTTGGGATGGGATCGGGAAAAAACTTTTCCTCGGTGTAGTCCTTAGCGAATAGCTGCATGCCTATCACTGCGAATATATAGATAACTATCACCAAAACGAAAGTGAGGTTACCCAGAGCCCCAATCGTACTTATTATTATGCTGAGAAGAACCTTCATTGTAATCCACGACTGAGCCAATTTCAGAACTCGTAGCTGAAAAAGATGGCATATATAATAGTTATGGATGAGTAAGCACGTCTTCTTCGTTCAGTAGCCCGCGACTGCGATCACATGGATCCCAGTTTTTTGGTTTTTCATGTATTTGCCTATATTTGATTGATAAGAGTATCGTTTCACAAGCAATGAATATAGTTTATCAAAGTAGAAGAAAGGGGAATATTTTCAGGATCAGTTTTTCTGAAAAAATTGTTTTTTGATTTTCTACTTTTCCATCATTGAGAACAACATTGTAGAACTTCCGAAGAAAGGAAGAAACGAAATTAACTACAATAAAAACTGTTTATAAAGAAATATAGAGGCTTGAAAAAATTCAATCTGAAAGAAAAAAAAACTCTCCAAAAATTACTTCCACATGCACATTGATTTACACAAAATTAATTTTTTTCCATTCATTTTGTATTCAAAACATTTTTTATGGTATTCAAAGAAATATCATTCATAGAATTAGATAAGGTTGGTCCAAAGTGAGTGGGTCTATTCGACCCTTCACCGCAAGGGTTTATTGTGGCTCCCTTCTATTCACACTCGTTCAAATAAACCCAGCTTCTCAAAGAAGCCCATACGTCTGTATGATGAGTAGTGTTTTAAGTCAGATGGTAAGAGTTCGGCTCTGCTAAACTCTAAAAACCTGATTCGGGCTCCAGCGGGGCAGACATACAGTATGTGCGCTGCTGTTTCATCATTTTCCAAACAGAGGTGACACACACTGTCTTCCGACAGTCAGAGTATCTGCGTATGATTATTCAAATGACAGTGACCTGTAAGAAGGCCTGTTAGATATCGTAGTTCATCCCTATTATATAGTCCAACAACTGTTTGATATCAAGCTTCGAAGGGTGAATGATCGCCTTGAAGTGAGCTAATCCTTAAAGATTCTGTCAGAAGTCCATAAATCTTCTTGCCGTCCAGGTGTTCAATCTTTGAAAAAGCCCAAAGTGAAGCCAATGACAAGTTCTGTTCCGATGAAGCTGCTTGCAGCACTCTCTTTTGCAATGGAGTCAGCAATATCATTGCTTTCCAGGCCAGTACGGCCAGAAATCCAGACCAGAGACAATCTGTTGAATCTTCCTATCGAGGAGAGTCGTTTTTGATGATTTGCTACTAATTTAGACGTTGCTCAGTAGAAGCCAAGAGCTTCCAACGCCACTTGACTGAAGTTTTTTTTGTATCAACGGCATCGACTACTTTGGTCATTAGCCTCGTGTTTTGGGCAATCAATAATAATAACTCCGTGAGCCACTTAGGTAGCACCATGGCTAGTCGCAATCTATCGGCCATGTAACTTTGCAGATTCATTCCAACTTCAACTGGATAAATTATCTGGTAAAAGTTAGTTCACGACGTTTCGATTGTTAGTATCCACAATCGTTTTCGGGTGATGACTGGACTGATTCCTTCGAGAGATTACTATTTATGGGTCGTTTGAGTACTTTCACTTATCCCCGCTTCTCATTTTTTCCTTTCATGGGAATAGAGGAATCCTTGTTGAGGAAAGGCCTAAATTTCGCCATTGCGCCAACATCTGTGTCCACTTTGGAGATAATTACTGCAGTGGAATCTACCAGTTCCCTTATTGACCAGACCGAGGCAGAAGAATTCAGATGGAAAATCAGAGAACAGCTGAATTGAGAACCAGTTCTAACATCTAACATCAGCAATGAAGAACGTAGAGCTCTGAACGGCCTACTTAGAGACAACACCATCAAGATCCTACCTGCAGGTAAAGGAAACGCTACTGTGGTGATAGATACTGTTCTCTACGAACAGAAGATCGAAGAGGTTCTTAAGAAGGGACGATACACAAAGATAGTACGGGACCCTACTGCATCAATTGAAAGGAAGTTGTACCAGATTTTGAAAAAACACCAAGTCTATTTTTCGGACAAGGAAAGATCATCGCTAACACCGTACCACAGTAAGCCTCCTCACTTGTATGGACTACCCAAAATCCACAAGAAGGATGTTCCGCTTAGACGGATTATCAGCTCCACAGATTCGGCTACTCAAAACTTGTCTAGATTTTTACTTCCCATAATACAACCATTACAAGGAAAAACATCGTCTTTTGTGAAGAATTCCAGGCATTTTGTCGAACTACTATGGTCAATTGAAGTTACACAGGAAGGTCAACTAATTAGTTTCGACGTGGAAAGCCTTTACACCAACGTTCCGGTCGAAGAAGCACTCCAAATCATACAGAGAAAGCTATCCAAAGACGAGAACCGGAAAGGTAGAACGAATTTACCTATAGAAGTAATTATGTAATTACTAGGATGCTGTGTACGAAACTGTTATTTTCAACTGAAGGACGAATTCTTTACACAAGATGAGGGACTGCCAATGGGATCGCCACCTTCACTAGTCATAGCAATTGAAGAAGCCCACAAGAAATTTCGAGTCTGGTTGAGATATGTTGACGACACCTTCATAATATGGAATCATGGGAATACTTCCTGTAACACATCAATTGTGTGAGACCTTCCATTACTTTCACAATGGAGAAGGAAATCAACAACGAATTGCCATTCTTAGACGTTTTGGTGAAGAGGACCGACAGTAAGTGGAAAACATCTGTATACCGAAAACCCTCTCGCACAGGACAGTATCTGAACTACGAATCCAACCATCATCAACCAACTAAAAGAGGAATCATCAAGACTCTATTAGATCGTGCTTTCGGGCTCTGTAACACGAAGGAAGGTCTCAAGAAGGAACTAGACATCATCAAAAATGATCTTTAACGGAATGGCTACTCCAAAGCGATGCTAGATAATATTTTGGCTAAAAGACAGCAGGAGCATAGTAAGGTAGAGAAGCCGTCACAACAAGTGCTTGTACTTCCCTACATCAGAGGATTATCGGAGAGGATAAGCAGAATTGGTTCCAAGTACAATATCAGAACCTGCTTCAGATTTGCTGGTTTCCCCTGCGAGAGGAAACCAGCAAATCAGGAATAGCAGACCATGTTTGGACACATCAACACAACATCAAGCGGTCCCAAGCTGAGATCTTACACAGAGAGGAACATTGGTTTAGGAGAAAATTCAAGGAAGCCGCGTACATGTTGTCCAACAACGTATTCAGTCAAGTCAGCGTAGAAATACGCAAAATATGGAAATCCATCATCAAGCGAAAAATGGCCAACACCCGCCAAACGGTCATCTCCCAATGAACCAGTGAAGCGGAAAAAATGGGAAGCGGGGATAAGTGAAAGTACTCGAACGACTCATAAATAGTCATCTCTCGGAGGAATAAGTCCAGTCATCACCCGAAGACGATTGTGGATACTAACAATCGAAACGTCGTGAACTAACTTGGCTTGAAATCTCTCAACTCATATTTCTATCCTTATTTTCAGTTTGTATTTCTTTATTTTCAATTTTTGTTTAATTGGTTTATTTTTACTAGTATTTTATTTCACTATTATTAACAATGATTATTATCGCTGTCAGTTTGCCAAATGCGGTTTTAATTCAAATTTAGATGTCATTTTTAAGAAGTTAAAAGACCTATATAAGAAAAACGTCAATATAATTAATTGAAAAATGGGTGAAAATTCAAGTGACGATGATTTAGAAATGATGTGTACCCCGCCTGATTTGTCACAATTGTACAATTTATTATAATTTCAAATGATTTTCAAGCGTATTTCCAATGTTCAATTTCCTACTTCTAGTTGATAATTAAGTTAACTTTGTGTTCCACAAGGTTCAGTTCTTGCCCCATTTTCCATTGACTTTGTAGTGACAACATCAACAATTCATCACTTTTTATTTGAATATTCTGATTGACTCGGCGTTACTCGATGAAGATCCATAGTAATTTCACAAATTACACCGAAAATGATTTGATCTTCACGAAATTTATTTTAAAAAATATCACAACATGATTCGCTATCACAGTAGCTTTTTCGAATTGAATAACATAGTACATACTATACAAACTACACATATGTTAATCAGCACGAAAAAGCTGCGATAGCGAAACATGTGATATCGTTGAAAATAAATTTTGTGAAGATCAAATGTTAAGTGTAATTTGTGAAATTTTTATTTGGAGATGATCTTAAACGAATGACTGAATATAATAAAAATGATTTCATGCCAATCAGAATAACAATGGTTTGAAAGTCTTTGGTTCGTTTAGGAGCGCGACAAAGTTTTCAACATATGGCCAAAATACATCTAAATTGTTTTCTTTACAGTGCGCGGTATCGAAAAATGAATAGTTCAAATATCTCCAAGACATATTATTTGTTGAGTTCGTAGTAATGAATATTACTGGAATTTTTTCCCAACACCAAACCCTTATTTTAACACCTCGACACGTGTTTCGATCACCAAGTGATAATCTTCAAAAGGAAGATCAAACTAATCATAATTACAAAGTTATCCTTATTTATTCCATAGATACCTCTTCCGGGTACCAGCGTCAAAATTTTGTCTTATCTACTAGTGTTAAATAAATTTTACAATTTGTGTTTATGTAATAGTCAGGTATAAAAAATCTGTCTGTTCAAAATCTGTTTTTCCGTTAACCAGCTGTCGAACCCCTACGAACGATAACCCTCAGAAGTCGAATCTCGTGCGAGCTAAGGACTGACGAGGTCTTACCTTTTGAGGTGTGATTCCTAACACGGGTTGGATGATAGCAAGTGAAAATCGATCATTCAGCCAGTCTTTCCATAATATTTTGCATCGCAGTCCTTACATTTAATTTCGTAAATTTCCGACTTTTCCGAATTCTCGACTTTGCCTTTTGGACTTCCTTAAAAGCTCTGTGAAGAAAGACTTGTTTTAAAAACCATCCTCATACCTAGTCCTTGAAAATATTTCCAAAGTTCTTCGTGTATGGGTGGTACGGAACTGAGATATAATGGCTCTTCATTACCAAAACGTCAAGAAATGGAAGTTGTTCTTTATTTTCTAACTCATACGTGCATTTTATTGAAATTTTATTGAATTAGAAATCTGTTATTCAAAAAGGAAACAAAGTTCTCAATATTCGATTTTTATTATCGAATTTCGCGAAGACATCATCCACATACCTCAGCCATATCCTAGAAAAATACTTTGACATTTCTTTGGTTTCCATTTCAAATCTGCTCAGGAACAGGTTTGCCAGGTAGGGGGACAAGGGGTTACCCATAGCCGTTCCCTTCTGTTGTTTATAAAAGCAACCTTCTACCTGAAAACGGTTTTGCTTCATACACAAATTAGTGAGAGAAACGAATTCATCAATTTTGTTATAATTGAAATTATTTTTCTCTAGTAATTCCCTGATTTATTGTAAGGTCTCTGGAATTGGGACGTTATGAAATAAGGAACTAGGTAGGTAGGTCTAAAGTGAGTGGGTCTATCCGACCCTTCACCGCAACCCATAAGGGTTTATTGTGGCTCACACCTATACACCCAAATACACCCAGCTTCTTAATGAAACCGATCAGTTTGTATGGTGAGTGGTTTTTCAGGAACGGCAGAGCCGTACTCTAAAAACCTGATTTGGTCCCCAGCGGGGCAGGCACAAAGTATATGCTTTGCAGTTTCATCATTTTCCAGACAGAGGCGACACACACTGTCTTCCGACAGTACAAGTCTCTGCCTGTGATGATTCAAATGACAGTGACCTGTAAGAAGGCCTGTTAGACATCGTAGTTCATCCCTACTGTAGTCCAACAACTGTTTGGAATTGAGCTTCGAAGGGTGAATGAACGCCTTGGAGTGAGCCAATCCAGTGTTTGTTTGGCAAAGCCCAAAGCCATGCCAATGACAGGTTCTGGTCCAATGAAACCGCTTGCAGCACCCTCCTTTGCAAGAGAATTAGCAGCTTCATTGCCTTCCAGGCCAGTATGACTAGAGACAATCTGTTTAGTCTTCCTATCGAGGAGAGTCTTTTTTGGCAGTTTGCTACCAATTTAAACGTTGCTCGGTAGGAGCCAAGAGCTTCCAACGCCGCTTGACTGACCGAGAATATTTTTATTGACTTGTGATGAGGTTGGATTCATCCAATATCTCCGCACACAATTCAATAGCGTAAATTTCCGCTTGAAATACAGTCGCATAAGTTCCTAGGCAGATAGATAACTCTGTCCTGGGTCTGCGACTGAAAACACCTGCACAAGAACCGGAAGGTGTTTTTGATCCATCTGTGAACCAACAACTATCTGCTCTTAATATTTCCTTCTTCCGCAGGATCCAGTTCTCTCTACTCGGGAATAGTACTTTATAAGGCAGTTCGTAGTTGACAGTTGGAAGCATGAAGTCAGAGGTTATTTCCAGAATGCTGTGAATTCCAATGTCAACCAACAGTCTGTTGTACTCTGTTGTACTCTACCACGGTGTGGTACTGATGGTACCACTGATAGCCAGACAAGCCTGTCTCTGTAAGCCAGAGAGCTTCGCTTGGACCGTTTTCTGTAAAGCCTTCAGCCACCAAGCAATTGCACCATTGGTCTGACAATCATCACATAAATCCAATGGATTTGTTTGGGACTTGAACCCCAAGTTTTACCACAAATCTTTCAACATGTCCATAGAGACAGTTTGGCTTTATGTAAAACTTTTTCCAAGGAACTAACATCGTTCTTGCAGAACGATGTTTTTTGTATGTTGTATGAACTCTAAGGAGTATTTGATACTAAAACCTGGTTTCGCAATAGGCAAACCTTCAAATTCCTTAAAGTATCATAGTAATTACTACTTCGTATTTGAGAAAAATAACAGTATCACATTCCCCAGAGGCAAATCCACGAAACAGAAATCAAACTGTTCCTGTCAAGTCCACATTCACTCAAGCGTATTCAGAACAATGTAAAAACAGAGTTTAACTTTGACTCGTGATGAATGAATCCTTTGAAAGTCTGCCCCATCAACTAGAAAGAACTCTCATTTGCATGTCGAAAAGGGAAAAGCATTTCTCGAGCTAACAATTTCCAGAATCTCTCCTACCCACTTGTGTTGGTGAATTTTCATACATCATATCTTAGCTGGAGTGTCATCTCGAGATTGTACAAGATCCCACCAGAAATAGGTCGACAACGGCTTTTATCTCGAACACAAGACGTGACGCTTTTGATAAGTTCAGATTTTAATATGTCGTCCATCCATCATTCCATTGTGGCAATTTTAATCGATAGTATTATTTGAGAAACCAGATTTAAGAACTGTTATGTTTATCTGCATATTTTGTCAGAGAGATTCGTCTATTTCGAGAGTCTGTTGCAGTATAAGGTCTTACTTATTTGAAAAGTAAGACTCACTTATTTAAAACAACCTCACTGAATATACTGAAAGTATATATACAGTGAGTCTCAAAAAGTTTGCAGCATATGGGTAACTTTTTTATTATACATTTGTCAGAAAATTTTANAACACGTTCACTAAATCCATCATCAGTGTATTGTCGACCCCTCATCCCCAGTCCCCAGCAACCTCTACTTCTACTTCAGAATTTACTATGGGACTACTATACTTGTGATACATCATCGTGAAATTGAGGATCGATCAACTGTTGTTGAAGTTTTAATGAAAACTAAGTTTCATCAAGATATTTTTATTTTTCATTGCCTAAAATGTTATCATCTTATGATAGGTTCAAAATGTGAATCATTCAGTTCCATATTTCTCAACATTTTTGGAGACACTGTACGACACTCCCCAGCAATTCTCCTGCGTAGATCATCAAGAGAATTTGGCACATTGAATCAATAATGGTGCTACCCACTTGTGAAAAAGTCATTTAAAATGTTCATGGGCTTTTGCAATATTTTTTTGGGAAAATCCAAAATGTCCTGCCTCTCTATCACATCTTTGAGTATGGATCTGTTTAAACGTATTGGTAGCGTTAAACTTATTGTCAAACAATACGTAATATACGAGGTAATGAATTAAGAGAATGTCAGAATAAAAAAAAAGACAATACATTGATGGGAGTATTTGATAGGTTTTGACTGGACCGGATTTGTACTCACTTATTACGACAATATGTGACAGATAATCCGGCTGCAACGTGTACATTTCTTTCTTCTTACAGCTCCCCACTCCGTTGCATTTGATGACTTTTATTTCCTTGGGACCCACAGCGACCGTAACAGGTGTCACCTCGATCCTCTGAAACAGAAAAGTCGATATTAAGCCTGGTGGATATTTATAGTTCTCCAGTTGCCGGAAATAGAATGCAAAAACTAACTTTCTGCGGAAAACGGAAAGGATATATGGCTGTTGTGGGATTTCACCATAGTCAGTCGCACGAGACACTGAGGACTCTTAGGAATTTTCGTTTTTGCGACTAATTTTTCGGGATATTTTTATATGGATTCTCCGTTGCCCGATATGAAAGACCACAAGATTATATTTGCGAAAATTTCATGAGAAGGTTGACTATTTTGGAAAGAGTGTTCAAAATCACTCACATGATATACTCGTAAACCAAAACATTTAAAGTCAATATTTAATACAACAGTTTCGATTGAAATTTTGCCCTAGTACTTATATTTGTCTGAAGTATTTGTTTGAAGGTGGCTGACAATGTTTCATGGTACATTTCATCAGTTCAGACTCTCATTGTCTAATATAATAGGAAATGATTTGGAATCCCTGGAAGAATCAATGAAATTAAAAAGATCAGATAGAAAATCTAACAAATATATTAAGCAAAGAAATTTAAATTACAATGGAATAAAAAAAAAGCAAAAGGAATTGAAAATTGAACAATCAACCAGAAATGAAAATTAAAAGTTTGAAAGATTTCAATTTCATTATATAAAATGATTTGAAATCCCTAAAAAAATCAATATAAATGAAAAATTAAAAAGAATTACATATGAGCACCATCAATTTCATATCGTTTCGTCATTAAAATATTCTGTCAGATTGTAATAGGCTTTAGATGCCAGTCTTTCATGTAACTTTTTCCTGAAAGTTTCAATATAATCCATGTTCTTCATATCTGCAAGTAGTTTATTGCACATTTTGACACCGACGTAAATTATTGAGTCTTTGATCAGTCTGGATTTAGGGATGTTCAATGATTAATTCATTGCATTCCGTGCAGTGCGATTGTTATTTTCATATAAAGATTTATTCTTGCAAATGAGACACGTAGCTTCTGAAACGTAGATTGAGGTCAGTATTCTGTGTTTCAGGATAAGAGGTTTGCAGGAACGCAACCTATTTACTTGGCACAAAAACCGCACTGCTAGCTTTTGCAGCAAAAATACACTCTCAAAGAAGAGTTCTACAAGTTACTACAAGAACGCGAGAACTAGATTGCGTACCTAAAGTTTGACAGATTGAGAGCCAAATAGACATTTTTTGCCGCAGCATAACTTTAGCTGTAGCTCTGAGGGCCAAACAGTCGGATTATAATTTTTTGTGATTTGTGAATTTCAAATTGGTATCTATGTCATGTCCCAAGAATTTTATATTGCTGTCAGATGTATAGAGTCAGCACCTAATTATACATCCGGAAGAAGGCATTCAAATATGAGAAATTTTGTTTTACTGAAATTTAAACATGAAAATTTGAATCGCACCACACTAGATTTTTTGTAGGTCTCTTGTAACATTTTTTCGAAGCAAATTCACATCTTCAGAGTGCCATAGAATGGTAGTGTCGTCGACAAATAAAGTGAAGGAACCCTAAGAGGAAAAGATCATTTATATACAGGAGAAATATATATGGACCTGAAACTGATCATTCGGGTACTCCTCAACAAAGGACAGCTTTGGGGAGTCTCGGTTATTCACGATATTCGTGAATTGAGTTTTCGGTTGATTCTGTAGATTGTGTTTTCATAAGGAGAATTGTCATCGTTTCTATGTTCTCCCGCTTATCCTTCAAGGACAGTTGAATTATGTAAACTATTCGATGTTCAGCCTAGCACCACTGTTCTTTGTCGGGTCGAAATAGTGCTGCCCGGTGTTGGATTACAAATGCTTCGGTTTTGGGCTCTGATTTCAATACCCTTTTGATCAATAAAAAAAACTATTAAGGAAACTATCTTCTCGCATAATGAATCCTCTTTGAAATAAACGATTGCATAACCTCCGAAATTATTCAAATATGACAACCACATTGTCGAGTCGTGAAAAATTATTTCATTTTATATTACGGAGATCACAGAACGGCTACATCAGAGCATGATTAAAATACATTAATGCATTGTTATTTCATGGGGAATGCTGGAAAATTAGACCACAAAGTAGTAGGTAGAGCTTTTGCACAGGAATTTCTAAATTTGAATCCTTTGTTGTTATTATGTACACAAATGGGTTTGAAAAGAAAAACACAATTTGATTTTTCAAATTAATTGAACGAATGACTGAATATAATAAAAATGATTTCATGCNCACACTATTTCTAGAGCAAGTATTTGTTTAAGAAATGATGGAAGACAATTTGAACATTTGATGCGATATTGCGTGAGACGGTAACTTAAAAAATGTAACGTGAGACATTCCGTTACGGTGTTCATTTTATATAATTTATTATTACGTTATATTTTCTTTCGCAACTGTCTTTTTCTCAATGTGATGTATCAACGATACTGTTAACTATGTGTTACAACAATAGTTTGATATTTGATTTCTGAATAAAAAAAGTTAAATGATAGAATATTGATGTCGAGAAATACATATGTTGTGATATGTCAACGAATTTGTAATTATAATGACTACGGAAATGTATAAAAAAAATATACAGGTCCATATTGAAAAAAAAATTATTGATGATGGAATTCAATGAATGAAACGTTGCATTGAAAAATTAGTTGGACCAGATTATAAAGCACATGAAATAAAGCAAAAAGTTTTTTTTTAATTTTTTGATATTATTGAAAATGGAGGCAGTAGAGCATAAAAATAAAATCTGTCATTTTCAGTTTTTTGCAAATATCTCAGAAACCGTTGATGATTTTATAGATCTGAAAATACCAGTGTGTTGCATCTCTGAATAGGCAACTTTTGTTTCATTCAACCGTCCTTGTAGGATCTACCGTTTCCGAGATAGCAATAGTGGTATCAGCTAAAAAATACGGCCTGTATATAAATAATGAATTATAACAGCTATATTTTTTTTTGAATCAATCATCTAATCACTACTCAAAAACCGAAAAATATAATTAACAGTCTAATGGATGAAGCCATAGAATTCGTATTTAAAACACCATGAGACACACTATCTTCTAAACTGTACAAAACGTTCAAAAATATGACTTTGAATCATTTTATACTCTTGAAAAACTAATGTTATGAACGAATGAATGCTAAATTGCATGATTATAATATAAAAAGTTGGAATAATTTCATTTTTGATATATTGATAGCTATAAATGAAAAATAGTATGATTGCAAATTATTTATATAAAGTTTCAAAAATTGTCAGAAAAAATATAAAGTTCTGAAATAGTCCATAAGGTTACCGAAAACATGATGATCTCCAGTACAATGATGGTCATCAAATTATAATTAAATGTTTACACTTTCGCATCCTCAAATAGTTATTCCTTTTCATCTGAATGGGTTTTTTTATTTAATTCTTTTTTACCCGAACAGATTGTGTGTGAAAGTTTTTTAACATTGAATTAGTGAAAAAAGTCGAAATCTCAAGAAAAAAACGCATGTTGTGAGAGCAAATTCGGAGCCGAATGAAAAATGTACTTTACACTTCTATGATGTGAAAGTGTCAAAAATTGTTCCACTGCATGAAAAAACTCACCTTATTGCCTATGTCTAACGCTCTGAGCACTGATTCACTCATGCCGTGATGTTCCATCGCTAGAAACATCGTATTGAGTACTATACAAACAGTTATTGCCAGTTCGAAGAGTGGATCTCGGACGATTTGGTAGAGTCCTTGCTGGAACTGGATCCATCCTTCGTAGTCCATGCAGCACTGCTCGCATCCGGAGCAGTTTCGATCTGGTATCTGTTGGTCTGAAAAATTTAAATTCTCTTGAATCCAACTGAGATTTTAGAATAGGCTTTCAAGGTTCCTCTGATATTTCATTCGATTTTCTGTGCCATCCTATTTCCGGTTAG